TAAAATATGTGTAACATAAAATTTACCGTCTTAAACATGTTAAATTGTTGACTAGTGTTAAGTGTGTTCACACTGCTGTCAGGTAATCTCCGTAACTCTTTTTTTACAACACTCAGACTCCTTACCCATTAAACAACTCCCGTTTCTCCCTGTATCTGGTTCCTGACAGCTACCGTTGTGCCTTCTGTTCCTGTGAATTCGACGACCTTCACTCCCTCGTGTACGTGGAATCACACAGAATCTGCCCTTTTGTGTTTGGCTTATTTCACTTCACACTCGGTCCTCAGGGTTCATCCATGTAGCAAGTGTCAGAATTTCCTCCCCCCTGCCCTTGCTTTTTTTGTTTTTTTGTTTTGTTTAAGATTGATTTATTTGGCGGGGGAGGGACAGAGGAAGAGGGAGAGAGAGAATCTCAAGCAGACTCTGCACTGAGGGCAGAGCCCGGCATGGGTCCAGGTCCAGAATGGAAGCAAAATCAAGGGTCAGGTGCTGAGCCGGCTGTGCCACCCAGGTGCCCAGCATTGGCTTCCTGTCGAAGGCCGGCTGGTACGCCACCGTCTGCATAAACCGCGTCACGTTTATCCATTTCTCCACCGGCGGGTACTTGGATTGCTTCTACGTCTTGGCTGTTGTGAGTGATGCTTCTGTGAACGTGGGTGTGTGGTATCTCTTCAGGATCCTGCTTTCAGTTTTTTGGATACATACCCAGAAGCGGAATTGCTGGGTCACATGATAATTCCATTTTTCATTTTTTGAGGAACTCTCATACTGTTTTCCATAGGGACTGTACCATTTTACATTTCCACAACCAGTGTACAAGGGTTCCAGTTTCTTCACACCTTCACCAACACTTGTGATTTTCTGTTTGTCTGATAGTAGCCCTTCTAGTGGGTGTGAAGTGATCAGGACTGTCTTTAGGGTTAGTTTGTAGCAGTTTGATTATTAGGTGTTGAGGTGTAGATTTTATTCTCGCTTGGAGTTACTTGATCTTAAATCTAAAACTTCATGTCTATCATCAGATCTGGAATGTTGTTGACCGTCATTTCTTCAAATATTTTTCTTTCTTGATGCCTTTATTCTGTACCCCCCCTTTTTTTTTTAAAGATTTTATTTATTTATTTGACAGACAGAGATCCCAAGTAGGCAGAGAGACAGGCAGAGAGAGAGGGGGAAGCAGGCTCCCCGCTGAGTAGAGAGCCCGATGCAGGGCTCAATCCCAGGACCCTGAAATCATGACCTGAGCCAAACGCAGAGGCTTTAATCCACTGAACCACCCAGGTGTCTATTCTGTCCTTTTGAGACTCCGGTGACACAGATGCTGGACCTTTGTTTCTATCCCACAACTCTCCCCAAAGCTCTTATTTCCCTCCCAATCTTGTTTTTCTCTCTGTTCTTCAGATAGGATAATTTCTGTTGGTCTGTCCTTGCTGACTTTTTCTGCTGCTATTTTCTTTCTGCTGTTGAGCCCATTGAGTTTTTAGTATACAACATACTATACAATATATAATATATTGTGTTCTTCATTCTGTCATTTCCATTTGTTCCTTTTTTAGTTTATATGCTGAAAATTTCTCAAGTTTTATATGTGTTTTCCTTTGCCTTCTGGAGCATAGTTACACCAGATGCTTTCATGTGTTTGATAAATTCAGTATCTGGTCATCTTGGGTTTAAAATATGTTGTCATTTGCCTTGAGAAATGGCCATATTTTCCTGATTTTTTTCTACATCAATGAATTTGGATTGTATGGTGGATTATGTTTTGTAGACTCTGGGTCCTGTATCATCCTCTAGAAAATACTGGATCTCTTTAGATTCAGACTGAAGGTTGTTTCCCCTTCTGTGGGTAGAGGTTCGAACATCCCTGCAGCTCTTGAAGCTGGGCTGGGGCTCCTCCGCACCCGAGTAGCTCCGAGGTGAGCCGGAGCCCGTACAGGCTCATTCAGGACACGTGAAGAGGTCTCCCTTGCTCTTCAGCTACCCTGGACCCCCGTTCTGGGTACCCGTGTACAGGAAGGTGGAGTTTTTGTTAGAGGGTGAGGCATCTACATGGTCGGCATAGCAGTGTGGATCCCTGACTGGGGTCTCTCCTCAGGCTGAAGCCATAGGGGAAAAAATGGGGCAACTCAGCCAGACCATTCCTTCTTCGAGTTCTCCCTCTACAATTCAGCTACTATTGTGTACTTTTTAGAATCCCCGGGTGGTTGTTTTTCAGTGCTCTGATTTTTCAGCTATAATCAGTTGAAATGGGATGGGTCGTCACCCCACTGGGGCAGAACTAGAACGACTGTCCTTTTGTTCATTTTTGACAAAGGGATGATTTAGAAATATGGTTTGGTCTTTATTTTTATTTCCAGGAAGTTCTAGTTAAGGGTGCATCCTTGAAATGAATAAAGAGCATGCTTTTACTGATAAAAGATGCCATCTGTCACAGTGTTTTAATTTCATGAATCAAAAACTTTTGTGTAAAGTAAATGAAGAAAAGAGGTAAGTTAAACCAGAGTCATAGTAGGATATTCAAAATACTTTTCCCGGTTTTTAAGATTAAATACGGGATTTAAATAACGAAATTGATTTCCTCAGTCTGCTTCATTCAGTGGCTCATTGCCCACCGATGAGTTTATTCCCATTCTTTCCACATGTCTTATAAAACATTTTTTTAAAAATCAAAACAACAACAAAAAACCTGGCCACATAGAAAAATCGCAAGTTCTCTACACAGCGCGGCTCTGCGCATCCTGGATTGCTGTGAGGTCAAGTTGGGTGTCTTTGTCTTTTGATCCCTGCAGTCATGGAGTTTTGCCACCTTGTGTGCTGGGCCTGCCAGGGGGCGGCTGCCTCTCGCTGCAGGTGTACCACACAGGTTGTGGAGGCCGACCGGATTCACTTCTCAGAGTCCACTCCTTTGTGTCTCCTCCTGGTTTACAGGCTCTGGAATTGGAGATCCACTGGTGTGAGTAATTTGGTAGCAAGAGACTGCATGGTTCGCCTAAGAGCACACGCCTCCTCCTGGCTCAGTGCTCTCTGCCCAGCCGGTACCCGTGGCTGCTCAGTCAGAGTCTCACAGTGAATTTATTTTCAGTGTAGTTTGGAGATGAAAGGAGGAGTCAAGGCAGGAGTGGGAGTGCTTGGAGATCACATGAACTTTGCTGCATTTGAAATTTTGAGGGCTCCCAGGAAATCCCTGCTGATCATGGTTTTTAAGAAAATTATTTAGGTTTTGGGGTGCCTGGGTGGCTCAGTGGGTTAAGCTTCTGCCTTCAGTTCAGGTCATGATCTCAGGGTCCTGGGATCGAGCCCTGCATCGGGCTCTCTGCTTGGCGGGGAGCCTTCTCCCCCCTCTTCTCTCTGCCTGCCTCTCTGCCTGCTTGTGATCTCTGTCAAATAAATAAATAAAACTTAAAAAGAAAATTATTTAGGTTTTGGTTTATCTCTTGTCAAGTTTATTGATTTGGATAATTGAGGGAGGATTTATTAAAGGAAACCCACCAGACTTTAAAACAATCAGTGTTGCCTGGGTGGCTCATTTGGTCAAGCATCCGACTCTTAATTTCAGTTCAAGTCATGATCCCGGGGTCTTGGGATCAAGCCCTACATCAGGCTCCATGCTGGGTGTGAAGCCTGCTTCACAGTCTCTTGTTTCCTTCTCCCTCTATCCCTCCTCCTCTTAAAAAAAAAAACCAAAAATTAGGGATATAAAAAATAAGCCCAAAGAAAAATTAGTTATAGATCCTAGCAGGGCTAATATTTTAGTATATATGTCCTTCCAGTGTCTAAACAGATAGACAGGTCACTTGTCTGGGTCATTCGGTAGAGCTTGTGGTTCTTGGCCTAGGATTCATGACTTTGAGCCCCACGTTGAATGTAGAGATTACTGGGAAAAAAGCGAGCAAACTAGACTGATGGTTGGTCTGTTTTTGGCCTTACCACCCTGAAAGTTCTCAGTGTTGTCCGATCTTAGAAGCTAAACGAGGTTGGACCTGGTTACTGTTTGGATGGGAGACAGACACCGAGCTCTGTGCATGTGCGTGTGTGTGTGTGTGTGTGTGTGTGTACACACACATGTGAGTACACACACACAATCTCAAAAAACCAAGATAATTAAAACATGCATTTTTAGCCTTTTTTTTTTAAACCTGCTATATAGTTTGTATCTTTTTAGGTTGATTATTCAGATTTAAGTAATTTTAATTGATGCAGAATTTTCTAGTGTGAGTATATACTATATTATTAGCTTACCAGTATTGGACTTAAGATTTTTGTTCCAGTTCTTGTTGCTGAAAATAATACTGTCTGTATGGTGAGTAACATAACATAATAAAAACAAAAACAAAAAAGCAATACTCTTGACTGTCAGTATATATATTTCTCTGTACTTGCTCCATTATTAGGCTGATAATCTACATGTGTAATTGCTGTGTAAGGTTACGTACTTTTTAGGAATCTTTGCAAGACAAAAAAAAATGTCTTCTAGTTTTGTGTTTGTAGTTACTGGTAAGGTTTACTGAACATTTTTAGTTATCTTTGTGAATTACCATTCGTATCCGTTGCCCATTTTCCCATTAGTTGTCCAGGTTTTAATGCTTATTTGTAAGGTCTTTTCATTGGAATGTAAACTCATCATATATTCAAAATATTGTCACCCAATTTATTCGATTTACATCTTTTTTTTTTTTTTTTTTTTTTAAAGAGAGAGGTGGGTAGGGAAGGGGATGGGGAGAGGGAGAGAGAGAATCTTAAGCAGGCTCCATGCCAGCGGGGGCTTGCTCACACGACCCTGGGGTCCTGACCTGAGCTGGACTCCGGAACCGGATGCAGAACTGCCTGAGCCCCCAGCCCCGCTGGACTTGCTTCCTCGGTAGTTCAGTGTCTGCACTTACGGCATCTGTGAAGCTTGGTCTGGGTCCGACGCCGCCCAGGGTGCTTCGCTGCTGTTTCCGGTGCCACATGGTGCTATACCCGGACCGGGAGCCTCGTTCTCAGCGTCTCCCTTTCCCCACCAGATGCCGACCCTGCGGTGACAAGGGCGATGCTGCGCTGGGTGTACACGGACGAGCTGCAGTTCCGGGAAGACGACGCGTTCCTGACGGAGCTGATGAAGCTGGCGAACCGGTTTCAGCTGCAGCTCCTCAGGGAGAGGCAAGTCGCGGCTGTCCCCAGAGGCCCTCAGGCCGGTGGCTGGGCTGGGAGCTAGCCAAGCGCTGCTGCTGACGGAGGGGACTGCGCCGCGGCGGGGACGGGGCTTTCCCTCCCTTGCTTGGTGTGATTTGGCCAGAGCTTTTCGGTATTCTCTTTCCTTTCACTGATTTTTTTTTTAAACCCGGGCTTATGTATCCGTGAGCTGATAAATGAGTATGAGCCGCTTCGGATGATGTGCCCAGACCCCAGCTTTCCCTCCAGTGCCACTTCCTGGGACAGTCGTCCTGCCCTGTGGTGTGGTACACGTCCTTGGGGAAGTCCTCAGTCATGTTCTTCTCGTTAGAAGCTCGTTCGTGCGGCTCGTGGACAGCATTCCCGAGTTCTTCCTTCATTGGTTACTGCTTTCTGGGTCCCCACGGAGGCAGCCTGCTGGGTTTTGTTAATACTGCGTTTTCTCTCTTGCTCCCCCGCGTCGGCCGTCCAGAGCAACAGAGAGCACAGTGTCACCATATGATGTCGTGCCCCAGATTCTTAGTTCTTATCGTCTTTTTCAACAGTAGCAGGACAGACTAACTTTCCTCTGAAGGAATTCTGTTGTGAATACATGTTTTTAATTTTAAAGCACTAAAAGGATATAGATGTACAAAAACAATTTTCAAAGTACAAAATCAAGGGGCACCTGGGTGGCCCAGTGGGTTAAAGCCTCTGCCCTTGGCTCAGGTCATGGTCCCAGGGTCCTGGGATCGAGCCCCGCATCGGGCTCTCTGCTCAGCAGCGAGCCTGCTTCCTCCTCTCTCTATCTGCCTGCCTCTCTGCCTACTTGTGATCTCTGTCAAATAAATAAATAAAATCTTAAAAAAAAAAAAAAGAACGAAGAATCTGAACTTTTAAATAAGATAACATGTTTTTCCATGTAACCGTAATGTGAGTGTACATTGGTGTTCCGTGAACCACGTCGGTTACCAGTTGTGGGCTTGCTGGAGGATGAACGGCAGCCCGGGGGCCCCAGAGTGAGGTGAAAGTGAAGTGTCTGCCACTGGTGACGAAACACCTGTCTTCAGGAAACACATTCCAGGATCTTGGTACGGGTGTCATTCGGCAGCAGAAAGGAGAAGGGGATTTGTCTGTACAAGTAATGTGCAGGGGGCTCTGCAGACACGGGTCAGTGGTCCCTGAGGTGGGACGGTGGGATGGACGCGCCCAGGTGTCGGCGCTGCACACTTGAGAAGTGTCACCGTGCCAGCAGAGGACCCCTCTCCCCAGATGCTCTGGTCTCATAGCCGTCATGGTCACTTGGTGGACCGCGGCTCAGAATCAAGGACTGGTGTTCATTACAGTTACTTTCTGAGGTGCCTTTGGATTGACAAGTGCCCTGTGGGTAGCGCTTCCTTACACCACGGCACCTGTGCTGCTTAGAAACCAAGAACCTAGGCATCCCTCTCGGAACGCAGTGGGTGCCCGCCCTGACTGCTGTATGGGGAGAGGTCGGCAAGATTGTCACCGGGAGCTCTGCTCATTCTTCTCAGGGCCTTGTTACAACGCCTCCCTCCTTCCCCATCTCCCTCCCTCGCATGTGGCCTTTCTCCACCTCTGTGAGCTGCCCCTCACCTGCTCAGATGGAGACTTATCTGCCGGCTTGCACGTGTTCTCACTGCAGTACGAACCAGCCCTTGTGATAAGCGCTGCTGCTGCTGCTGCCTTGAGAAGGCCCCCAACCTGACAGGCACAGCAGCCACGCACGCATGCCTTGCGGGGCTCTTAGCTCCCTTTGTCTTGAAAAACGCGTGGGGATCCTCTGTTACTGTGCACAGCAGGAGGCAAGAGGCACGGGGTGGGGGGCGGTCCGTGGACCTCCATCCAGTTCTTTCTTCCTGCACAGTGTAGTGCTCTCAGTGTCGTTCTGCCCCCGTGATCAGAAGAGGGTTTCTGTGGCAGCTGCAGGACAGACGAAGCCACGGTAGGCTGCCAGGCCTCGGTGATGCCCTTGGAGGGCCTCACTTGTACGCAGATGTGCAGGCAACGGGTGGAAGGATGGTGCCGCTGGCCTCTTTCCCCCCAGTCCAAGTCCTGCAGAGGCTCCCCGCAGCCTCCCAGAGTTTGGAGTCGACTTCCCAGTGCTGCATCTCCTGGGCCAGGGTGTGTGTCAGCTTTGTGCCAATAGGGCCCTGCCGGCCTGGGTGACATACTGGGTGCTTTTTTATTAGTGGATTTGAGAGCCTCGTGGTGGTGGTGCTTGGTAGCAGGCTGTTTGGACGTCTGTGCAGCCAGTTTTTCTGTCTGGTGTACTCTCTAAATCAAGTGAGGGACGTATGTGTTATACACGGTGGGCGTATTGTACGTACTGTAGTTGCACTGCAGGTGTAGTGAGGGTGCACCGTGTGTGTCCTACGGGTGTAGTGTTTGTATACTGCGGGTGTAGTGTGTGTATACTGTGTGTACCGTGTGTACTGCGGGCATAGTGTGTGTACTGCGGGCGTAGTGTATGTACTGTGGGCATAGTGTTGTGTACTGCGGGCATAGTGTGTGTGTACCGTGGGCTTAGTGTGTGTACTGCGGGTGTAGTGTGTTTATACTGCGGGCATAGTGTGTGTGTATTGCGGGTGTAGTGTGTATACTGCGGGCGTAGTGTGTGTGTACCGTGGGCGTAGTGTGTGTACCGTGGGCGTAGTGTGTGTACTGTGGGCATAGTGTGTATGATGCGGGCATAGTGTGTGTGTACTGTGGGTGTAGTGTGTGTTTACCGCGGGCATAGTGTGTGTACTGCGGGCATAGTGTGTGTATACCGTGGGCTTAGTGTGTGTGTACCGCAAGTGTAATGTGTGTGTCGCAGATGTAGTGTGTGTGTACCGTGGGCTTAGTGTGTGCGTGCCACGGGTGTAGTGTGTGTGCCGCGGGCATAGTGTGTGTGCCGCGGGCATAGTGTCTGTGTGCCGTGGGCGTAGTGTCTGTGTACCGCGGGCGTAGTGTGTGTACCGCGGGCGTAGTGTGTGTGTACTGTGGGTGTAGTGTGTATACTGCGGGCGTAGTGTGTGTGTACTGTGGGCATAGCGTGTGTGTACCGCAGGTGTAGTGTGTGTACTCCGGGCGTAGTGTGTGTGCTGCAGGCATAGTTTGCGTACACTGCCGGCATAGTGTGTGTGTACCACGGACGTAGTGTGTGTGTACCACGGGCATAGGGTGTGTGCCGCGGGCATAGTGTGTGTGTACCACGGGCATAGTGTGTATATCGCGGGCATAGTGTGTGTACTGCGGGCGTAGTGTGTGTGTACTACGGGCGTAGTGTGTGTGTACTGCGGGCGTAGCATTGTGGACTGTGGGTGTAGTGTGTATACTGCGGGCATGGTGTGTGTGTACTGCGGGTGTAGTGTGTGTACTGTGGGCGTAGTGTGTGTGCTGCGGGCATAGTGTGTGTGCTGCAGGCATAGTGTGTGTGTACTGTGGGTGTAGTGTGTGTATACTGCGGGCATAGTGTGTGTGCTGCGGGCATAGTGTGTGTGTACTGTGGGCTTAGTGTGTGTGTACTGCGGGCATAGTGTGTGTGCTGCGGGCATAGTGTGTGTGTACTGTGGGCGTAGTTTGTGTGTACTGCGGGCATAGTGTGTGTGTACTGCGGGCATACTGTGCTACGGGTGTAGTGTGTGTGTACTGTGGGCATAGTGTGTGTGCTGTGGGCGTAGTGTGTGTGTGCTGCGGGCTTAGTGTGTGTGTACTGCGGGCATAGTGTGTGTGCTGCGGGCGTAGTGTGTGTGTACTGCGGGCATAGTGTGTGTGCTGTGGGCGTAGTGTGTGTGTGCTGTGGGCGTAGTGTGTGTGTACTGCGGGCGTAGTGTGTGTGYTGCGGGCGTAGTGTGTGTGTGCTGCGGGCGTAGTGTGTGTGTACTGCGGGCGTAGTGTGTGTACACTGCGGGCGTAGTGTGTGTACTGCGGGCGTAGTGTGTGTACACTGCGGGCGTAGTGTGTGTACTGCGGGCATAGTGTGTGTGGTGCGGGTGTAGTGTGTGTATACTGTGGGTGTAGTGTGTGTATACTGGGTGTGTACTGTGGGTTCACTGTGTACTGCGTGTATCCTGTGGGTGTACCTCAGGTTCACTCTGGGTGTTACAGGTGAAACTTGGTTGTCTCTCCACATTTTCTAGTGGGCGTTTACAAGTCAGCTTTATCGAGTGATAATTCCCATACCATACAGTTCGCCGTGGGAGGACTTATCGGGGATGTGGATTTACTGAGGCGTGTGTAGAGCCTCCTCTCGGAAGTTGCTTTGAAGCCTCGCGAGTGGAAACTGCACATGTGTCCTGTACAGTTACATATTAAAGGAGTGAATTTGACCTGTAACGTGTTTGGTTTTGTAGGTGCATGTGTGTGATTAATGGGGTTCAGGGAATCACGTGTAAGTCAGTTGGGGTTATGTTTCATGTGTCTATTTAGAGGTTATTTTGATTCTGACCAGAATGGCCCATGTGGTATGATGCTAGTCTTATACTTTTAAATACGGTAGCGCAGCCGTGAATTCACCCTGACTCCCCTGCCTGCTGACACGTTAGCGTCGCTGGGTTAGACCACCAGTACTCTGCGCACGGCCTCGGCTTGCCCATTGATGAATCTGTTTGTCCTGAAGACAGCGTTCACCCTTCATTTCTCTTGCAGATGTGAGAAGAGCGTCATGTCTCTGGTGAACGTCAGGAACTGTATCCGCTTCTATCAGACTGCAGAGGAGCTGGGCGCCGGCACGCTGATGAACTATTGTGCGGAAATCATCGCCAGCCACTGGGTGAGTGCGGGCAGAGGGGTGTGAGCACAGCACGTGCGTGGCAAGCCGGAGACCTAGGCTCGGGCCTGCTTCTGTGGAATGTTCCTCTCTGTGTCCTGCTTGCGTTAGAGGCCTGGAGAGATTCTTCTGGGCTCTGACGCCTCCTGATTGCAGAGTAGAGAGGCAGGAGGGCATTCAGGTTAAGAAACAGGCTTGGAACGAAGGGGCCCCTGCCTGCGTCCTCTGTCCGCAGAAGCTGCCCGCCGGCCTTGGGCGCTCGGCAGTGCCATTTCCGGCGGCTCCGGCTCTGCAGCGTGGGTGGGGGGCGCGTCCTTAAGTTTCGATTTGCCCTGCCTCAGAAGTGTTTGTCATAGAGAACGTTTTGGCATTGCTTTGTTGTGTTCTCTGCATTTTTAAAAGAATCATGCCTAGGGCTATGTTTTATGAGCTTGTGTCTGCGTTTGGTTCTGTGCTTAACAGTATTGTGAGGAAAGGTGTCTAAAATAATAAGGTTGCGAAGAATTGAGACAGGAGTGGTGCTCTTTCTGCTATGATAGAAATTTAGAGGTTTGCGGTAGTGGAGACCGCCTGTGATTGGCGGGGACTCCCCTCTGGAAATCCTGATGAACTCTGAGCTCTCATCTTTGTAGGGGTACGGATGGCATTCTCCCCGGAGGGCTCCTGGCAGCGTCCTGGGTGGGGGTCAGGGTTGCTGTCCTGTGTCTGGAAGGCATGGCGGGGTGCAGTGGATGGTTCCGGCCCCGGGTCCCGGCTTGAACACTTACTCCCCGTGCGAACCGGAGCAGGAGTTCCTGAGCCCCTTCATGCTGTCCGTCCTTCTGTGTTATCCAGAGAGGGGGAATGCTACGCCCTCGTAAAGAAGGGACAGACACGTTCCGAGGGATTCTTCATGAACGTCTGTTGTCGCTACTGCTGACGTGTCAGGTCTGCTCTGCTTTCCACTGTCCTGCCCTCAGGACGACCTGCGGAAGGAGGACTTCAGTAGCATGGGCGCCCAGCTGCTGTACAAGATGATCAAGTCCAAGACCGAGTACCCGTTGCACAAGGCGATCAGAGTAGAGAGAGAGGATGTGGTCTTCCTGTATCTGATCGAGATGGACTCACAGGTACTGTCGTGCTTTTCCCCAAACCGAAACTGCTTGTTTTTCTCTAAAATGTACCTCACTCCTCCAGACCTTCACTGGCATGGTCTCTCATGTACCTGTGTCTGTGCAGTCTGAGCTTTTCCTCTGATGCTCCTGAAAACCCTTCCAGCCTTGGCCCGTTGGCCGTTTCCAACATGGCTTCCACGTGTGTAGGTCATTGCTGGAACAGTACCTGACTTCCAGGTGCCAAAACCTGCTTCAATTTTCTTTTGCTGCTGTAAGAAATTGCCACAAACCTAGGGGCTGAAATCAGCGTGGACGGGTCATCTTGCAGCGTTTTTGGTTGGGAGTCCCGGGTGGGCCCATCTACGTTTCGGGAGGCAGCAGGGTGGGGTCCTTCCTGGAGGCTGGCGGAGAGAATCCCTTTCCCGATGGGTCGGCGCAGTGGCAGAGTTTACTTCCTTGTGGGTACAGGACAAGTGTCCACATTTTCTTGCTGGTTCTCAGCTGGGGGCTCTTCTGGGCCTCCGGAAGCCACCACATTGCTCCCTCTTCTGGCCGGGATGGTGCATCAAGTCCTCGCGTCCTGTCTCTCTGACCTGCTCTTCTGCTTCCCTCTGTCCCTTCTAAGGACACGTGTGACCAGCTGGGTCCCTCCTGGATAACCCAGGATGCATTCCCTCAAGGTCCTTAACCTTAATGACATCTGCAAAGTCTCTTTTGTTGGGGATTGTGGCACAGGCTCCAGGGACTAGGACAGCGACATCTTCAGGGGCTATCACTCTGCTGACCCAGTGAAGAAATGCATTGCTCCCGACAGAGGGGAGCATAGCGTGCTTGTCCTGGGTGTCTGGTGTCCGGGGAGTCATCACGCTGTGTGGGATTTGATACTAAGCCACAGTCTTTTATGAAAATGTTAGCTGTTCGCTGTCGGGCTGTGACCCTCAGCCCTGGCCTTTGTGCTCCCACAGCAGTGTGTCCATTTCTGTTTTGGTCCTGTACTGTCTTCTGTGGTGTTTGTGTCTGCTCTGGAATCCCCGTTAATTCTTTGTTCCCTGGGAGGCTTGTGCCTGAGAGAAGTTCGTGAATTTATTGGGACTTGGAGAGTATACAGTGTTAGAGCACTAAATTCAGTATTTATATAAAAAGATGGTATGTTAGAGTCCAACTGGGAGAGATTAAAATCAGTTGTATTCGCTACTGGCTGGGCACTAATTTACAAATTTGTGTGTGCAGCTCCCTGGAAAGCTGAACGAAGTGGACCATAACGGAGACCTGGCTCTAGATCTAGCCCTGTCACGGCGACTAGAGAGCATCGCCACCACGCTGGTTAACCACAAGGCTGACGTGGACATGCTCGACAGGAACGGCTGGAGCTTGTTGCATAAAGGAATCCAGAGGGGTAGGAAGAAGCGGCGTACCTTGTCTTCTTCTCTGCGAGCAATTTTACTTTCATTTGGGTAATTCTCGAAGATTCTCTGACCCTTGGCACACACTGAAAAGCCTTTTCCGGCTGCACATGATGAGAATCTGTGGTCGGCGGGTAGGTGGACCCAGGGCCCTCACCGTGTTCTTAGGCTCTTGTGGGGTCAGCAGTGCCCCTGGAGGAAGGGCCAGGGAGAGGGCACCTCCAGAAGGACCTTGAAGCTGTACGCCATGGACGTGCATCACTCTCTCGAGGACCTGTGGCAGGAGGACTTTACTTGTATCAGGGACTGTGAGAGGGAAAGGATCAAAACCACGCACGTCTAGACACGCTCTTGGCTTCAGAATTTTCAGTGGATGGGTTAGGCTTCTGTCCTGGCAGAGTGATGCAGCTTCATTTTGTTCTCGGAAGGTTCTGGAATTGTAGCTGTATTGGGAGTATGTTGTTCATAGTGGGAAGAATATGGAAGTGATAGGATTAAGGTCAAAACATTTTCATCTTGATGCTACAAGGGAAAAAAGTACTAGTCTTTTTTGTTTTATTTTTCCCATGGCCTTATTCTTAAGTCCCAAACGGGTCCTGCTTGCGTCTGCTTTGCAGTAGTCGTATCTGACAGGGTGAGGAGCGATCTGGAGGCAGCGTTCCAGCACGGAGGGACGGCTCTCCCGACTGCCAGAAGCTTTGACTTGTAGATGACCTGAGTGGAGTACTTGGCCACGGCCACTCTTCTGTTTGCGCGCGGACGGCAGAGACAGAGCGCACCGATCTCTGCACATCCGAGCCCTGTGCCCTCCCCCCCTGCGGTCATGAGACCAGCATGACTGCGCTCTGGTACCATGCTCCTTTTGTGCCGTTACACCATCGTTCTTACGTTTGCTGTCGCCATTCATACGCATGTTCTGTTGCTCACAAGTTGCTCCTGGATGGTGGAATGTAGTCACTTCACATACGGGCCTGTGGCAGCTGTGGCTTTGCTCTTTTTGGGCAAAGGTTTTAGTAAAAATATCCCTCAGAGCCATGTGTCAGTGTTAAGCTTCTTGGCTGGCGGAGAGGAAAATGTTGCTCATCAGCGGGAAGGAGCTCCTCGGAGAGGATGTCAGCACTGAGAGCAGACGCGTTTCCCGGGTGGCGCTCCGCACTTGTGCAGCCGTTGGGCACTTGGCGCACCGGGCACGTGTGCGGTGGGGAAGGTTCCCACCACATGGGGAATTATTTTTCCTATACTGTGTGGTGTCTGAAATGTTTGTTTTGGAAACAAATACACTTGTTACTAAAAAAAAAAAAATCCCAGAATTCTATTTCTTTTCTCCTAGGGAGTTAAATTCTTATGTGTGTTGAGAAAGCATCTTTGACGAGTTATTAAATATTTTGGTGATTGCTCAGTTACAAGAGTTGCCAAGAATTGGCGATGCCTTTCTGATGCTTGTTTTCAGGCGCTTTAATCTTCCTCTCTGAATTGGTCTGTTGCCTGAGAGCCTGTGTGTGCCAGCGTGGCTAGCATCGTCCTGATGCTGCCAGCGTGGAGAGCAGGGCTCGGCGTGGCGGGCCAAACGCTGGTGCCGGAGCTTGGGTGGGCTGGGGTTCGTATCTGGACTCGTGTGCCTGCTCAGGGCCCTCTGACCCGTCACTCAGTCGCCACAGGGTCTCCTCTCCCTCTTGCGCAGAGTGGGGATCCTTGTCGTTTTCCAGTGTCGGCAGCCTGTGCGGCATGGTGACTGCCGGGTGTTGGGGGCAGCCCCTGGCCGCTGAGCCACCGTCAGCTCCAGTCCCCATAGGGCTCTTTCCCTCTTCCTTCTGTAGCCTGCGCCGTCAGGCTGTGGACCTTCCGAAATGACTTCATTGAGTAACGTACGTCATTTTAACTGTTGCCCTTACTCGAAGTTCATTGTCATTTGAACAAAGATCTCTGTTTTGAGAGATGTGGGCCTAGTTCTGGGTGCCCACCGGAATCTGTGCCGGTCAATTCCGTGAAGAATGACACGGGCAGCCGGTGTCTGTGGGCGAGTCCGTGGGAGGCAGACAGGTGGCCGGAGGCGAGAAGGTGACTCCTCGCTGTTCAGGCGCAGCTGGTGTGCAGCGGTGACCTTGCAGTAATCTGACCTCTCAGTAATGGGCACGGTAGTTTTGCTCACCGCTCGCGGTCTGTTCACAGACGGCGCCACCGCCTGGGGCGGCATGGGGCCGGCTGTATTCGTGGCGAACGTCACTGGGTTCCCTGAACACAGCCGTGCTCCGGAAGCTGCACAAAAGGAAGAGCTACGTGTGGAGTTTAGGTTTGATGGTGCTGCTGCTGTTAGGGATACGCTGACGTGCACAAGTCATGTTGGTGAGGCCTCGTGCACCTGCTGTGCCACCGGATGAGGACGAGAGAGTGACTGACCTCCAAGTACCGGATAGTCTCGCTGTGATTGTTGTTGGTTTTTTCTTTTTTTAAGATTGTATTTACTTATTTGACAGAGAGAGAGAGAGTGAGAGACGGAGCACAAGCAGGGGAGTGGGAGAGGGAGAAGCAGGCTCCCACCGAGCAGGGAGCCTGACGCGGGGCTCGATCCCAGGACCTGGGGTCATGACCTGAGCCCAAGGCAGACGCTTAACGACTAAGCCCCCCAGGTGTCCCCTGTTGTAATTGGTTTTGGTGGAAATCTCCGTAAGATGTGTTATAAGTTTTCTTCCTGACAGAAACTTTATAAATGGTGTTTTTGGTATTTTTCATTCTCTCTCTTTGCTCTGCTCTTTGATGGCCGTCGTCTTTTCCCTCTAGACTATGCACCCTCGGGCTTTCCTATAATGGAAAACGTCCCCAGTTTTCAGTATCCAGGAACTCCTAGATAGCTTCTTGTGTGGGGTACGTGCGTTTATGTGCATATTATGTATAAGTAAGAAGAAAGTCTTTGGCTCTTGCTAGTCAAGTAAGTCTAATCTAAAAGCTGTAAGTCTTAAGAGGGCTTAGGACAGACCGTTCCGTTTCATTGTCCCTCTGCCATCCCCGTGCAGCCAGTGGTTGGGTGTCCTCGGCCCTCACTTCTGTGGGCCGTCTCCCCTGGTCGACCTGCTTTGTTCAGTGTGTCCAGGCTTCTCTGCACGCTGTCTTGTTTCAGGGTTACTGTGTTTCTCTCTTAGTCTGGAGTGTGTGCTGAGCTTGAAGGCGTGAAACCCCACCCTTCCCCTGGCATCACGCACCTCGTCTTCTCAGCTTGAGGCCCTTTGTCCCAGCAATCCCGAGTTTTCTTTCCAAATGGAAGTGGCTTTCTCTGGGATATTGTATTCTGTTGCTAATGTTTGTACATATTCTCTCTCAGACAGAGTCTCTGGGGTGCTGGTTTGTACTGCTCTGTGTATGTGCGTATGAATAGCAAAAGCCTCCCCAGCGCTGCCTCCGACCTGCGCGTTACCGTCGCGCTCAGAGTGCTGCCGTCGGCCTGTGCGCAGCAGTCTGAGTTTTGGTCCTTTGCTCGTGATGTCGGTAAAGATTGCTCTTTCCCCCAGACCCTGGGAAAAAACTGGGGGCCAAAGAAGGGGCTGGTTAGAGAAATCTTAAGTTGCCTGAAGTCATAATTGATAGAATCAGAGCCAGTCTGTTGAAGTGGGACCTGGTAGCCTTGACCGGTCAATTCGTTTTCTTCCCAGACGTTCCCCTGGTGCCTGTTTTTACATAAGATGGTGCAGGCACAAAGTTAGATCAGACGTGGATTAATCAGCAGCTGATTGGCCTGTGGCTGCCTGCATACCTCCATGCCAGGGCTGACATTCTCTGGCAAGATGGTCCCTTGGAAGAAAGTACAGAGCCCGTGTCAGGCTCCATGCTCAGTAGGGAGTTTCCTTGAGGATTCTGTCTCTCCCTCTCCTGCTGCCCTGTCCCCTGCTCGCACACGTGTGTGCGTGCGCACTCTCTCTCAAATAAATAAATACAATCTTTTAAAAAATGAGCACAGGAATATAGATAACACTTGAGAACTTTGCCACTCTTGAAACCCTAAGCCTTATTCTACATGTTGAGACTGCAGAGTATAGTTGAAAATTAGTGATATTGCAAGAAAGAGAAGAAAACTTGGCACAAGTGACTTTGAAAAGAGAAAACTGTCATCTGGAGGTTGGGATTCAAAGGAGTGCACGTCTTTCTCCAGCACTCACAGAATCAGGAACAGATGAGCGTGTCTGGATGCAGAGGCGAAAACAGATCAGCCGAGCAAAGGACACCGGCGTCTGTGATCTGTGTAGCCGAGCGGCTCTGCAGCACTTTCGGCTGCTGGGTGTCCACCCCCAGACTCCGCACATGTGGCGTAGGAAGTCCACTGTCACGGCGGGCGCTCTGCATTCGGGGGCGCTGCCCGCTGAAGAAGGGTGTGATTTGCAGGAAATTTATGCTGTAGACCTTGGTGAAGCGGGGACAGCATCCACAGAAAGTGTCCCTGCATCCTGCTGGGACGACTTAGCCAAGTCCTGTGTCACACCCACTAGTTACAGCTCTGCCCGGCAGGGGAAGGACGTTTGCTCTGGAGGGTCTCCCTGCAGTGAGCTCCTCCGTGCCCCCTGGAGGTCCCCTCCCGCTGGGCAGAGTGCCTGGAAGCCAGCGAGCATCCTGCCTTTGTAACTGGGTGGTTTCTGTGTTCACAGTTCAGGAGCTTAGGGTGCTTTGCTGCCCTGGCCTTCTTGTCTTTCCTTTTCTTTTCTTTAGGATTTTCTTTATTTATTTATTTGAGTGAGAGAGAGAAGCACAGGTGGGGTGGGGCGGGGGTGGCTAGAGGGAGAGGCTGACTGGGCCCTGAGCTGGGCGCCCCATGTGCTGTGTCTAGTGAGTGCTTTTGCATGCTTTGAGTTGTAAATGGAACCAAATCCAAGGAAGATTGAATTTTAAGTGATCTTAGAGCAAATTTAATTGTTCGGTCCCTGTCAACCTCCAGGTTAACTTGACAGGCGTACTTTAACTGCTTTTCCACAAATATTTTTGACTTGAAATCGTCTGATTGCTCGGTTCCAAGTTTAGCCGCGCATTTGCACAACTGTGTACCTTTAGTACCGCCATGTAAACTTAATTCTTGGTAGTTTCCGTGTTTTCTCGTACAGAGTACCGTGAATAGACAGCACTTTAAGCTGCCAGAGTTACTGGATCTTATGTCCCTTACTCAGAATTAGTTTGGTATATGTACGCGGTCCCAGGCAGACTCTTGCACCTGCAAATGCTCCAAGACTTAGGGCAGTGGAGGGGACTTAGGAGGAAGCTTTGTTTTGACAGCCATTTAGTTTACCTTGCGGAGTTTTTGTAGAGCGATGTGTACAGAGTCTTGGTTCAGACACTTAGATGGAAACTTCTCGTCGATACCGTCATGTCTGTGCATAGTAGGTAGCGAACCTGTCAGGGCCATCCTCCAGTCAGGAACCTGGGTGTGAGTGCAGAGGATTGGTGGTAGGAGCGGACTGTGGTCAGGAAATGAGAGGGGCATGGGTTGTGCTGGGGAGGAATCTCGAAGCTGTCCTTGAGAGCTGATGGCGAGGGAGGCCTGTCAACACAGAAGCCTGCTGTGCTTGGGTAGTGCCCTGGAGGCTAGGGGCAGGGCAGAGGACAGCAGCGAATCAGAATTGAATGAAGCCTTTGGAGTTCAAGGTTGTGACTTCCCGATCTTGATGACAGGTTTCCACTTAGAGGTCTCCCAGAGGTTCTGCCCGTTGTCCCTTCTTTGTCTGCAGTTTTTCTGACCTTCCAAGGACCAGAATAGGCCGATAGGTCTTGTCATGGGTGACCATTGTCTCTGTTGTTTGTTTTCCAGGAGATCTCTTTGCTGCCACCTTCCTCATTAAGAATGGGGCCCTTGTCAATGCTGCTACGTTGGGTGCCCAGGAGACACCGTTGCACCTCGTGGCATCGTGCAGTGCAAAGAAACACTCAGCAGCTGCAATGTCTGAGATGGCCCAGATCGCAGAGTCCCTTCTGCAGGCCGGCGCCAACCCCAACATGCAGGACAGCAAGGGCAGGTAAGCGCGGCGTCCACAGCGGTGTTTTATGGGGGCATACAACGGCATACAACTACACAGCTAGCAGTCAAGCTCGCTGTTTGGTCCGCTTTGTTGGACCAATGAGAGGCACGACTAACCCAGAGGTGCTTGGGGAAATATTTTGTGCTCGGAACTGAGGTCCAATGGACTTGTAAGCAACTTGTGTCTTGTTCGGGGGCTCACCGGTCCAGTTCCTCCAAGGGTACTTCGTCCCAGCGTCCTCGTCAGAGCTGGCAGGGTACCGTGAGGGGGCGGCGTGCCCCATCTGAAGGTGGTCTGTGGTATTTCCTTGCGGTCTGGGCGTGGGGAAGTCCTCTGGGTTAGACCTGGTTCTCGCTGCGGGTAAGGACGCCGGCTCCCGTCAACTGACGGCAGTTGTCCTGCTTCTTTGTCCTCTTCCCAGAAGTGCCTTGTGGAGGATCCCCTGTGGTTCTGAGTCTACGGAAGGCTGCCTCCCACTGGGGCAGCCGTGTGGGAGGACAGAAGGGACCTCCAGCAAGTGGGCCCCACTCTCTGTAGTCATGACTCAGTATTTTATACCTTGGAAGAGCCTCTCACAAACAGAGGACGGAGCTCCGTGCAGTTGTCAGAGTGGGAGATAGCTGTGTGTGGAGGGACCCCGCAGCGAAGACAGATGGGTCTCTGGGACCCCACTGTCGTGTGATGGTTACTTTATTTCCCCAAGCGATTGCTTCCTTTTCCTCTTCTGTTGACTCTGACTTCCTCCAGCTGTAGCACCCGCTGGTGGCGTGTGCCTCTGAGGTGGATGCTGGCGGGGGGTGGGGGGACTTCAGGGCCCGTGAGGGTTGAATAAAGGCCGTGAAGGGTAGTCAGAAGCGCCTCCTTCAGTCCCTGCCTGTTGGCACGCGGTGTCTGAACATAACCCAGATTTATAGGAAGAAAAACAATCGCTTGCGGACTCGCGGAGAGTAGGTGGGGAGAACACACACTCACGTAGAGACTGTTTCCGAACGCGAGTAGCTACTCAGTGAGGTCAGCCCTTCACTGGAGGGAACCTTACAGATCTCCCTTCTGTGGGTTCCTGTCCTCTTGGCCCCTGGCTAGATGGAGCCCTAGAAGCAACTCCATTTTCATTCTTGGAGACTCGGTCGTGCTTTTGGACAGCTGTTTTCTAGGGCACAGAGAGCCGCTGTTGCAGAAATGTGGGGTTCTCATGGGTCGTCCTGAGCCGCTCCTGTTCTGCGCTGACCCCGCTTCTCTCTCGTCCCCAGGACGCCCCTGCACGTGTGCATCACGGCCAGGAACGAGCACGTCTTCAGCCAGCTGCTGCAGTGCGAGCGGTACGTGCGGGGAGTGGCGGGAGAGCAGCGGGGAGGGCGGGATGACGCGTGAAAAATCATTCTTGTACAATGTCTTCCAGTGTTACGAAGTTTAGTAACTAAGAGCCAGACGAATAGTGGTCATTCAGTGTGTGCAGAAAGGGAAGGTGAGGCTGTGGCCGGTCCGGGTCTGCCGCGGACCGCATGAGCTGTTCGCATGGCTTCCTCACTTTAGGCTGGATCTGGAGCTGAAGGACCATGAGGGCAGCACCGCCCTGTGGCTCGCCGTGCAGTACGTCACCATGTCCCCCGACCACTCCGTGAACCCCTTCGAAGACCTCCCGGTGGTGAACGGGACCTCCTTTGATGAAAACAGCTTCGCGGCCCGACTCATCCAGCGTGGCAGCAACACCAACGCCCCAGACACTGTCACAGGTGACACGGGGGTGCCCCCACGCTGGGGCCCAGGAAACACCACGTCCGTGTTTGTACCAAAAAGTCAGAAACCAAATGGCGTGGTCTTATGAGAGATCGTCTGCGCTTTTCACTGAAGTAACAGCCCAAGTTATTTTTTTGACAGCAGGCTTCTAGCAGTTTAGCAGGACTCTGGTCTGTGAGGCAAAAACACTCTGTTTACTGGGTGCGTCTTTGCAGGGCTCCAGAGCTGATTTTACGTGATTAAAAACCATATCCCTCAGGATTTTGGTTAAATTAAAACCGAGAAGTTTGTAAAAGTTGTATTCGTTTAAAAATATAACAAACCGTTCTATGTTTAAGATGACTTTTTTTTTTTTTTTTTATGAAGAATGGTGTTTAAAACAAAATTAGACGGAAAAGTGACTGATTTCCGGTGTCTGCATCTATAGTCAGCATTTTGAGACAAATTGTTTCGGTGAGCGCGTGGGAAGGAAACGCACCCTCATGTGCTGACGTAGCCGGAGGAGGGCGGCGCGCTTGGAGCCCTCTCGGGGCTGGTGGGTGCACTCCCCGGGGTCTGCAGCGAGCAGAGCGCCCGGGCGGTAGCTGAAAGTCCGTCGCAGCGTGGGGCCTGGAAGCGTGCCCACCGGCTGCTCGGACTCTGCAATGCCGGAACCCGCGGCCCGTCTGCCTGCGAACGGCTCCGCTCTAGACGTGGTTTGGTCACATTGTGACTTGGTCATTCGGAAAGTGCTGGTTCGCAGAGTTACGGCGTCTTCAAACGCGTGTGTATCTCAGAATGACGTGTCTAGTGTCACCGCTGATCGCATCAGAGGAGACTGTTGTCTTCCGGTATCGCTAAGCGGTCAGACCTGCAGTTTTCGATTAAAGTTTCCCAAATTCTGATACTCACTTGAAAGATCCACGTTTTATCATCTGGCGCAAATACTGCCGGTTGTTGTTAGAGAGAGGCTCGCATCTGTGCTCCTTTTCAGGAGTGTCTGTCGGCTGCTCGGTCTGGGGGGCCGTGGCCTGAGTCCGGCCCGCTGCGCCGCGGCTGTGGGTTTGCGCGCGCTGCTCGCTTCCTCGCTTCTCCTCTTTCATGTGCGTATGTGTTTATCTTGTGCTTCTCTGCTCAGACTTTCACTGCTTTCTGAACGAATATCCTTTTATTGGACTGTCCCCCTTACAAAGGAAATGTCACACGGTTCTGAAAGGACAGGGACTCGCTGAAATTTAAGAAATTTAGTAATTTCTACTGCTTTATCAAGAACCCGCCCCTTTCTTGGCTGGTGCGTGGTGGTCAAGAGCAGTGCGTGAACTGCGGTTTCGTGCCGGGGCCACTGTTGCTCACGCTCAGGCCTCCGCGTGACCTGCCGGCCATACCGGTGAGCACAGGCATAAGTGAACATCCAGTGGTGGTGTTACAGGGACAGTTTTGACATCACGGGCCCCCGAAAGACTCAGGAACCCCTAGGAATCCAGCGACCACACTTGCAAAGCCACTGTTTTAAGGTGGATACTTCCTTGATCTGACTTAGTGAGATGTGCGGATATTTTAGGAAGTGTCCCTTTGTGATGGGTGTTGCTATGTGTGAAGCGTGGGTGGGCGCCACTGATGGGGGGGGTGGGTCCAGAAAAGGGGGGGTGTGAAAAGTTAATAATTTAAATACAGATCAAAGTAGATCACCCCTCGGGTGACATGAAAGCTGAAGGCAGGGCACTCCACACCAGGGGATCAGGAAAGTCTCTGGAAAGGAGATTGTTACTAAATTACTCTTAATTTATAAAGCTATATTGGTTATTGGCTGTAATTTTATTGGTTTCTAATGTAATCGTATTATATGAGCATCATATTATATAAGAAATTGGTTCCTTGATGTTTAGGACTTGAACGTGGGGTTGATTTTTAAGATTAATTTATTTGATTGCACCTCATTAATAGCTTTTTTGATTTCAACTTGATTAGATTTTAGTTCTTTTATTTCTCCAGAAAGGGCTTTTATATCTCCCGAGAGGGTTTCTCTAATATCTTCCATGCCTTTTTCGAGCCCGGCTAGAACCTTGAGAATCGTCATTCTGAACTCTAGATCTGACATATTACCAATGTCTATATTGATTAGGTCCCTAGCCTTCGGTACTGCCTCTTGTTCTTTTTTTTGTGGTGAATTTTTCCGCCTTGTCATTTTGTCCAGATAAGAGTATATGAAGGAACAAGTAAAATACTAAAAGGGTGGCAACAACCCCAGGAAAATATGCTTTAGCCAATTCAGAAGAGATCCCAAATCGTGAGGGGAGGGGGGGGAAGGGGATAAAAAGAGGTTCAGAAAGAAAAAAAAAAAAAAGAAAAAAGAAACAAATAAGAAAAGAAAACCAATAATGAAAAAATATAAAAAGGAAAAATATATATATATATATTAGATAAAGTAGTTAAAAAACGTTAAAAAAGAAAAGGGTAAAAGTTAAAAAACTTTGGCAGAAGAAGAGAAAAAAAAATTGAAAGAGAAAAAAAAATTAAATTAACTGCAAAGCTAAAGAATCATGGGGAGAAAGCCATGAGCTCCGTGCTTTGCTTTCTCCTCCTCTGGAATTCCGCTGCTCTCCTTGGTATTGAAACTGCACTCCTCGTAAGTGAACTTGGTCCTGGCTGGGTTTCTTGTTGATCTTCTGGGGGAGGGGCCTGTTGTAGTGATTCTCAAGTGTCTTTGCCCCAGGCGGAGTTGCACCGCCCTTACCAGGGGCCGGGCTGAGTAATCCGCTCGGGTTTGCTTTCGGGAGCTTTTGTTCCCTGAGCGCTTTCCGTAGCGTCCGGAGGATGGGAAGGAAGATGGTGGCCTCCCAGTCTCCGGCCCGGAGGAGCCGAGAGTCTGGGGCCCCACTCCTCAGTGCGCCCTCAGAGAACAGCGCCCAATTACTCCCGTCACCCTGGCCTCCGGCCGCGCTCCGAGCTCACTGAGCCTGCGACCGGTTCAAGGTAACGCCGAGCTGAGAGCTCACTCCTAGGCTCCGTCTCTGTAGCCGGCTTCCCCGTTCTAATACCTGCAAGCTCTGCGACACTCAGACACCCCGATCCTTCTGTGACCCTGCGGGACCTGAGGCCACACTGACCCCGCGTGGGCTTCACCCCGGTTAAGCCTCTGGGGCGATGTCCCTCAGCGGAACAGACTTTTAAAAGTCCTGATTTTGTGTCCGTTGCTCCGCTGCTTGCCGGGAGCCGGCCCCTCCCCCCGCGGTCTATCTTCCCGTCGCTTTGGATTCACTGCTCCGCCAGTCCTACCTTTCAGAAAGTGGTTGATTTTCTGTTTCTAGAATTGCTGTTCTTCTTCTCTTTGATCTCCCATTGGATTTGTAGGTGTGTGCAATCTTCAGATAAGCTATCTAGCTGATCTCCCGCAACCTGAAGTAGTCTCAGCTGCTACTTCTCCGCCATCTTGACTCCCTAAGATTAATTTATTTGAGAAAGAGAGTGGGGAGAGAGAAGGAGCAGGGGGAGCGGCAGGCAGAGGGAGAAGCAGGCTCCATCCCATGATCCCGGGATTGTGGCCTGAGCCGAAGAAGGCAGACTCCCAACTGACTGAGCCCCCCGGGCGCCCCGCAGATCCAGTTTTACAAAAGCTTAACATGTGCTTGATGGGGACCACGTTCTGTCCCTGCGGGGCTCACACTTGTGCTCACATCCCCGCACCACACGTGCTGCTCTGCCGTGCACTCTCCCACGTCACCAGCCGGGGGGCTGCTCGGCTTGCCAGTGTGGGAGGAGGATTACGGTTCTACACTGTGGGTGTGGATCTGTCCATTGTCTTGCTGGCGGTCAGTTTTACTCTGTAAACTTGGAGTTTCAGTGCAAGTTCAGGATGACTGTTTTTCCTTGTTCCAGCCGTCCTGATGCATGGAATGGCCTCAATGCCCGGTTTCTCAGCATAGCGCTGTGGCAGGTGGAGGTCGGCGTTGTTTGACAGGGAGGCCCGTGCTCATGTCTTGTGTGCCCTAGAGTGACTGCAGAAGTGAGGACGGGACCGTTTTAGTCCTGGTGTGCAGTTTGCGCTCTCAGATAGCATAGCTGCAGCCCAGGGGATTTTCTGTTTATCTGAACCGGAAACGGATGTTAGTGGAAAGGGAATCGCTGCTTTGAGGCTAGAACTATTCTACGAGGGAAGGAAGAAAAAAGATGTTTTTTCCCACAAGATTTTTATTTAGGAAACAGTGCTAAAAGCAGAACATTTCTAAGCCACTTAAGGCCCTGGGGTAAGATGTTGAGGGCATCATCTGGTGGAACTGAGCTCACATTGTGCTGCACGTGGTTGTTCTAGGTGCACGGGTGCTCAGATGACCGCTGGCATCCCGCTGCCATGTGTGCAGAACAGATCCCTCACAACAGAGTCCCCTGGCCAAAATGTCAGGAGCTCTGCTGCTGAGAAACACGCTCTACCCCGTCCTCGGCTGCAGCAGAACTTACCTCTGGCCCCGGGCGGCGTCCAGTGGCAGACTCTGGAGGGATGAATGTCTCCGACTCCCAGACCAAGTCTTGGTTCCACCTAGACACAGGCCTGTCCAGCGTCTGTGTCCACACGCAGAGAGGGCCCGTGTGGGCGTGATGTGGGTGTGGGGTGTGGGCTTGTCCGTCGTGAAAGGTGGGCGAGGAGGGGCTCGTCCTTGTGCAGGTGGAAAACGTGTGTGCTCCCTGTCTCCTAGGGAATTGCTTACTGCAGCGGGCGGCTGAAGCAGGGAATGAGGCAGCGGCTCTCTTCCTGGCGACCAGTGGTGCCCAGGCCAACCACAGGAACAAGTGGGTAAGTGTGCCAGGCGGCCAGGGGTGTGGTGTGGGTCCGTGCAAGAAAGGCAGTGGTGGATGTTGGGTGGGAAATTAGCTCTTTCTCAGTTTTTGTCTGAATAATACACGCACTTGGTTAGAAAACCAGGCTGAAACGGGTGTTTTGTCCCCAGATGTGGGGTGTGAGAGTCTTACGCTTACTGACACTGGTGGGGTCATGGGGGTCACTGAGCATTCCCAGTGCCAGTGTGGAGGGGAGGGGGCTGGAGCAGAAGATGGTCCCACAGAGGAGGACACTGTTGTGAGGCCCTCCATACCGCGACACCATTCGATGGGGAAGGGCGTGGGGGTGGGGGCTGAGTGCTGTGACACAGGGACACCGGATGCTCCTTGAGGCTCTCCTCATCGCAAAACCGTTCGATTGGGAAGGGCGTGGGGGTGGGGGCTGAGTCTGGTGACGTAGGGCACAGGATGCTCCGTGAGGCCCTCCTCGCTGTGACACCATTCGATGGGGAAGGGCGTGGGGGCAGGGGCTGAGTCCAGTGACACAGGGACACAGGACAGCCCGTGAGGCCCTCCTCACTACGACACCGGTGGATGGGGTAGGGCGTGGGGGTGGGGAGCCAAGTCTGGTGACACAGGGACACAGCAGTGGCAGGTGCACATACAGTGCCTGAGACTGGAAAACTGAGAGGCGGCAACAGGAACACGTTAGTTAGAAATACGGAGGTTGCAGAAAACCAGCTGAGAGGTCAAAGTGGAAATTTCTTTCCAGGGAAAAGGAAGTGGGATGTTGCTGTGTCTCACAAGGAGCCTTGTCGGGTCTTGACTCTAGACCGATGAGGTGTAGTCTCCGTGAGAGTAAGGAGCAGGCCGGCATGTTTGATTTGAGTCTGTCTGTTTGAGTGGCAGGATGCTGTGTGTGTACGTCTGGATGCCTGTCTTTCTGTGACTGTTCTGTCCTTGGAAGGACGCAGGACTCTGGAGTTTCCTTGGGGAGGGAGCTGGGTGGTGGGGGCAGGGCCTGGAGGAAACTTGCCACCGTGTGTTCTTGTGCCTTTTGAGTAGTGAGGTGAGTGTGTGGAATGGCAGTTTAAAGTGTTTTTAATGTCAGAAAGGAGGGGAGGGAGGACTTGATCCGAGCTCAAGACGGGGTTGATGGGAGCCGGGCAGAGAGCCCAGTGGGGGTGGGGCAGAAGGGGCCCGGTGGCCCCTCGGTAGTCCTGTCCCCTCACGGCTGCAGTCGAGGCTCTGCTCACCTCCCCGGGGCTGGCTTCCGCGGCACGTCGGGCTTGTGTAGTCATAACTGTGTGAAGGGCGGTTAGGAACGCTGTCAGACATATATGAGAGGACGAGCCAGGACATTTGGAGGACACTTGGCCGACATTAAAGAAAGAGGCTGATGGCACAGGGAAGGGAGGGACAGACTGGCAGGTGTGGGGCGCGTCACTGTCAGCCGGTGACAGGATGAGCCGAGGACGGTGACTGCCCCCGGGGACCCAGGTTTCGGCACACAGGCTGTTGTCGGCGCTCCGGGACAGGCACTCCCCTCCTGAGCGCGCTCTGAGGTGCGCCGTTTGCTTCCGTTCAGGGAGAAACCCCGTTGCACACAGCCTGCCGCCGCGGCCTGGCCGGCCTCACCGCGGAGCTGCTGCAACAGGGCGCCAACCCGAACCTGCAGACACAGGAAGCCCTGCCGCCACCGAGGGAGGCCGCGTCCGCCAGCGGCCCTGCGGACGGTGTCTACCTGCAGACCCCACTGCACATGGCCATCGCCTATAATCATCCCGACGTGGTGTCTGTCATCCTGGAGCAGAAAGGTGGGCGCTGGGGCCTGCCCTGCGTCTTCGAGCGGCAGCTCTGAGTCGTGAGTTGCAGAGTCGATGCTGCTTCCGCTGGGCAGTCTTCTCGCCCAGATCCTTCCAGGTCGAGCGAGATGAGCATGTCCTCTGGCTCCTGACCGCTTTTGCCCCACGTACAGCTTTTAGGACAGGGCCTGCCCATTCCACGCCACCTGTCAGGTTATGGCTTTAGAACTGGTGACTGCCTCTCATGTGGATGTTTTCCCAAAGCTCTGTGTTGGCGTGAGCAGCGTCCAAGGACCCTGCGGCCCCAGGTCCTGCTCGAGCCAGCTGTCCTGCCTCAGCCTCCCCGACAGGAGCACCGTGGGAGGAGTGGGAAGGGAAGGAGGGCCAAGGGCAGCCCCTGCCGTGGGGAGGCCCACTTCCCCCAGAAAGGCATGCTCGGGCGCTCCCCTTTCCTGGCCTGGCTCTTGTCTTCCTCTTGTCCTGTCCCTGTGACAGTCAGCATGCCTCTGCCGTGTGCCTCTGGAAGGGAGCGAGGCTGTAGGTAGAGGCATTTTCTGGGGTCCTCACGGGAGTGTTGCGGTGGTGGAAATTCCGTGCCATGGTTTTGACCCTCTCTTTGGCAGTCAAGTATCATTATGTGTTTGCATAGTGGGTTTGTTTTCCTTCTGTGAAGATTCACTATTTTAAGCCTTAGAAACTTACTTTTCTCCTAAGCTCTGCTCCAAAATACCAGGCTCCTGGGCTTCCACCCCCTACAAGAAGATTGGTGAACTCTCTGTGTAGATTCTGTTCTAGCTGGTCAGTTAGTTGGAAACTCAGTAGCTCTTACGCTTTTGAATGTGGTCCATGGATGGTGAAATCAAGTGTGTGTTTCCTTTAAAAATTTTAGCTAATGCTCTTCATGCCACCAACAACTTGCAAATCATTCCGGACTTCAGCCTCAAGGACTCCCGAGACCAGACGGTGCTGGGCCTGGCCTTGTGGACGGGTAAGGGATGCTGGGAGCTGCCAGCGTCCAGATGGACCTGCGTCACGAGGTGGGGTGGGGGAGGTGGGTGGGGAAGGGCTGCGTGCATCACGGGGTTTGGGGTAAGCCTTCCACACCCCGTGGAAGCTGCCGGTTTTGAGACATTGAGGGGGCGTGGGTGTGTTGCGGTGAGATGTTGGGCGCGTGGGGCAGTCAGGGCCTGTTTGCGCCCCAGGCATGCACACGATCGCAGCGCAGCTGCTGGGCTCTGGGGCCGGCATCAACGACGCCATGGCGGACGGGCAGACCTTGCTGCACATGGCCATGCAGCGGCAGGACAGCAGGAGCGCGCTCTTCCTCCTGGAGCACCAGGCGGACATAAATGTCAGGTGGGTGGCACCGTGCTCTCCCCGCAGGACCCGCTCCCAGCGCACTGGGCCCTGGGGGCGGCAGAGGGGAACCCCCCAGGACCAGGCCATGGTACCGCACAGAGCTCGCTGAAAGGACAGTCCAGAAGACGTTGTTCAGAGAGTGATCTCATGCTCAACGAAGAACATTCCAGCCAATGAGCTGTCTGAAGGGCTTGGGGGAGAAGTGCGGAGTTCAGTTTCTAGCGTTCCCTTATTTCCAGAGGAATTTATCTTTATCTCCAGTGTCAGGTGACCCGGAATGGCTGAGTGGAGGGAGTGGTAGGTCAGGTGCGTGGCGGCAGGTTACGGAGCTGCTGCGGGAAGCAGCCGTACGCCCGAGTGCACACCAGCACACACGGGCGCTGCGTTACCTTCTGGGGGCACTGGGGTGGCTCGGCTGTATTTTTTAAAAAGGCAGAAGGGACAGAGGCTGCTGGCGGGTTAAAGTGCTCTGAGGGAGTGCTGGTTAGCGTGAGCGACGTGTTTTCCGGCCTCTGGAATGCGCTGGGGCACGTGTTATTGTTGGGCTCTGGCTACAAATGTTGGCTTTGGGTGCGTGTCCTCGCAGGACTCAGGACGGGGAGACGGCCCTTCAGCTGGCCATCAGAAACCAGCTTCCGCTTGTGGTGGACGCCATCTGCACCCGGGGCGCGGACATGTCCGTGCCAGATGAGAAGGGGAACCCCCCGCTGTGGCTCGCCTTGGCAAACGGTCTGGAGGACATCGCATCCACCCTGGTGAGACAGGCTCATCTCCGGCCTCCGTTTCCGCTTGGGGGTGTTTGTGACCGAGACTGAGTTGCTGTCTGCCTAGCGGTCACGAGGAACAAGGGAGCCGCCAGCAGCCAGTTGGGTCAAGGATGAGCAGTGGAAAGGCCTGTTCAAGAACTTGCAGTTCAGCGTGATCTTTCCAGCACTTTCTCTTAGGCTGTCTTTACCAGGACCGCCAAGACGCCAGAGAGCTGGGGTGCCTCCTCGGGAGGCCTTGGGTGTGGGCTGCCCTCACGGATACCATGGTGACAAGTCCCCAGAGCTCTGGTTTGTCTCCCTTACTCAGAAGACAGGCCCCAGGAAGTCCTCACTGAGCTATCTGATGAGCCTGGTCCCTGCCAGGAGTGCACTGTGTAGCCGGGGCCTCACGTAGCTGGTGGCGACATTCCCTGTGAATTTCAGGCGTGTCACTGAGACCAGGGGAGTGTGTCTGTTTCCTGTCCTTCCTGAGACACGGCTCCCAAGGGCAATGATGATGTCTTTCTGTCTTTCTTGTGTTTCCCAAATCCATCCCACAGGACCTGGCACGAAGCAGATTTTAACCAGTGTTCTACAGATTAGTATCATTAGCAGTAAATTGTCAGCTGTATCTTGCCTGAAAACAGTGAATCTGATGGTGTACCTAGAGTTCAGAGGGGGTAATAGAGTGACTTTGCTGGGCAGTGTTTGTGAGTCACCTGTGTTTTCTGCAGGTCAGACATGGCTGCGATGCCACATGCTGGGGCCCGGGGCCTGGGGGGTGCCTGCAGACGCTCCTGCACAGGGCCATCGATGAGAACAACGAGTCTACTGCCTGCTTCCTTATTCGCAGGTCTGAGAACCCCCAGTGTCTCCTCGTGTCCTCTTCCTCAGCTGTGGTCTTAGCGTGCCTTGGCGGGTCTGACGTCCCCGGTGAAGGCTGTAGGAGGGCCCCTGCTCTGCGAAGTCAGCCAGTGAAGGCACTTGACTCACTTCTGAGGAGAAGGGCTTGTGTGCCCACATCGCAGTCCCGAAGCTGAGCCAGCTTCCTGCTCTGGGGGCCCTAGAGGCTCCTGTAGTCCAGTCTGGCCAGTTCACACAGTGCAGGCAGGAGGCTGGGGCGGAGGAAACCAGATGGACCCTGTGGGGACCCCCGTGCCCCTGCCTGCTGAAGGTGCATGAGCCCTAGCAGGCCCACAGCATGCTCGGGGTGCAGTGCGCACGGCGGGGACCTGTAGAGCCGTGGTTCTCAAGATAATGACCACACACACATCCCTGGGGGGCCTTTGAAGAGTTCTGATGCCCAGGCTGCCCCCAAGACCAAAGGAAAATCGATGGGGTCAGACCTGGACGTCGGGTTGTGACTGAGACAGCTGTCCTGGCCGCGGCAGCAGCGCGTTGGGCGGGTGAGGCTGCTGCTGCGCACTTGCTGGCGAGCCTCCGGCCGGGTTGAGAGCCTGGCTTTCGGAGCCGCCGCTCACGTCCCCATCGCTTTCAGTGGCTGCGACGTGAACAGTCCCAGGCAGCCCGGTCCTAACGGAGAAGGGGAGGAGGAGGCCAGAGACGGGCAGACCCCCTTGCATCTGGCAGCCTCCTGGGGACTGGAGGAGACGGTACAGTGTCTTCTGGAATTTGGTGCCAGCGTAAACACACAGGTATGGAGAATTACTGTTTCCGGGGAGAGGGATGCTGACAGCAGAATTAGGGAGTAATCTCTTACCTGCCAGGGGCCTTGCAGACTCTCAGTCCTGGGCCTCGGCGTGGCCGTGAGTGGGGCTAAGGGACAGGTGGATGGAGTGACTTCCCCTGGGTGTCACAGCCTGCCCCGTAAATTGTAAGACTTTCAGGTAAGATTCTCCCACTCTGTGCCTTTGTCCTACAGTGTGAGGAGCGTTCCTTCGGTCAGCTTCTCTTTGCCCCTCGCCTCCATTGGTTGTCCGTCTCTGTCGGGAGTTTGTCCTAGACCCAAGCTGAGCACTGTGCTCAGATGTCCCCGGAGCTCCGTGGAGCACCCGAGTCACGTTCCTTGGTGCTCGTCGGTATCCCGGCCCGTGAGGATGTAGGCTGCCTGCCGTCGAGTGGGCGGGGGTCTCAGGCGAGGCTGACTGTGGGTTCATCTTCCCAACCAAGTGTGTTTGTGTCCCTGGGTCACTGGAGCATGGGGGAGATGCCCGCAGCTTCTGGTTTTCTCTGGGCTTGGACTCTTGAAAAGCTGATTGCGGACGCAGGGGGGCAGTATCGGTTCTCAGACCCGATCTGATTTGATGCCCTTCCTGTTTCTCCCCGCGTTTCTCCTTGCGTCTGGACACTGAGCTTGTGCCTGACCCTGCAGGACGCGGAAGGGAGAGCGCCTGTGCACGTGGCCATCAGCAACCAGCACAGCGTCATCATTCAGTTGCTGATCTCCCACCCCGATATCCACTTGAGCGTCCGCGACAGACAGGGGCTGACCCCTTTCGCCTGCGCCATGACTTACAAGAATAACCGGGCGGCGGAGGCCATCCTCAAGCGGGAGTCGGGGGCTGCCGAGCAGGTGAGGAACCCACACCCAGCACTGCGCCCAGGGCCCGAGCTCAGGGGACCCGCGACGCAGAGACTAACTGGATGTCCCCAGCTGAACAGGTCTCTTGTCCATGAAGACATCCTGTGTTGAAAGTGCTCTCCCCTTTCCTGAAGTCCGGCCGTTCTGGCGGACTGTCGGTGCTGGCGGAGAGCGGGGTGCTCTGCCCCATGTCAGCCCCGTGCTGGTGCCCCGCGCACAGGGAGGCTGGGGTGGCCAGGCCCCGGCCGGGGCGTAGTTTTGTGGTGTGCCCCGATGGTGTCCTCATGTGCCTCTGCTTGGGCTCCTTGTCCTGGTGATGAAGGTCTTCTGGAGGTGTGAATCGAACGGCAGGAGCGGCTGGCCTCGGGGCAGCTCTCCGGAGAGAGCATCTCTGAGGAGCGGGGCTCCGGGCGGCAGGCTCAGGCCCAGCCTTCTCTGTGCTGCTTCAGCAGCTGCTCGGGGTGGCTGGCGAAGGGCCAGCCGCAGGGCATCCGGGCGGGACTGGGATCCCCATTGGGGTTCACAAGTAGCCTCCGAGGGCAGTGACGTGGAGATGTGGCAGCTGAACAGAAGGAAGTCCTGGCGCTGCAGACGAGCCCCGCTCGGGAGCTCAGGCTGCCCTGGGCCGCTGGCTTCGCGTTGGCGTGTGAGCGGGCTGCGGGCGCTGCCGCAAGGTTGGGAGCGGGCAGCCCCTCGTGTTTCCTCACACACAAGGGAGACGGGCACGGTGGACCAGAGTCCTTCGTAGAAACACCGCTTGGGACAGCAGCACGTGCTATGTGTGTGGCTATGTGTGTGCGTGCGCTGCCTCCTCACTTCTCACCAAGCACTCAGGGACGCGACGGCTCTCGTAGCCACAACTTCTCTGGCCGGTTGCACGGAGCTCTGGTCTGCAGCAGGCTGGCAGCTGCCTGCCCGCTGCGTGCTCTTACCCTGTAGCCCGATGGAGGGGGAACCTTGTGCAACTGCTCGGGGTCGGGCTGCTGTTGCCGCTGCGGTGGGGGGTCCTGGGGGCTGGTCTGAGCCAAGCAGGGCACCCCACGGCTAGTCTCTGCCTTCTCCTTTCTCCCCGAGCACCCCCTTCCTTTTCTCATCCGCAGGTCGTCTCTTTCTCAGTTTTCCAAATCAGCTTCTGCTGCCGGAGGGTGTCAGGGCCTTGCACACGTGGTCAGATGCACACATGTTGTGGCGGGGTGGGGGGCACATGCAGTGTTGGCTCTTGGGAGGGGGCCTCCTGGACCTGAGGGGTTGGCCACACCATCGCCTCTGGCCGGTGCTCAGGAGGCTCCCTCGTGGGGGGAGCCCACTAATATTTTGGCTCCTTCTCGTTGCCTTAGGTGGATAACAAGGGCCGGAATTTTCTTCATGTGGCAGTTCAGAACTCTGATATCGAGAGCGTCCTGTTCCTGATCAGCGTGCAGGCGAATGTGAACTCCAGAGTCCAGGATGCCTCCAAGCTGACCCCTTTGCACCTCGCCGTCCAAGCGGGCTCGGAGATCATCGTCCGCAACTTGGTAAGTGCCGCGAGCAGCGCGTGGGACCTGTGGGCCGGGTCGTGCCGCGTGCAGGAGCTCTCATCACTGCTGTTCTGGCGGGTTTTCTGAAGCGCTGGCATGAATTTGGGGAGCTAAGCCAGTGCCCTTGGGGGAGCCCTGTGTCTGTGGCAGTGCGTCCTGAGAGCCCAGCCAGCACCGTGTGCAGGTGCTGGTGTGAGGCCTTCAGGGAACACAGGCCTGGCTGCAAGGGCAGGGAGGCCCACGTCTGCACCGGTGCCAAGCGTGTGCTCTCGGGGCCGCTGGCACATGCTCGCGTGCTCTCATCAGTATGTCACATTGCGGTACTTTCTGGGGTACGTCACAGTGGTTCAGTATTCATGTGGAGCGTAGTGACCACCACGGCAAGTCTAGTTAACATCTGTCACACATGGGTACACACGCTTTCTTCCGATGAGAACTTTTAAGATTTACTCTTCGCAGTTTCAGGTACGCGGTGTGGTATTACCTGTGGTTCCCGTGCTGTGCATTACTGTCCCAGGACTTACGTGTTTTATTTATTTCTCTTTATAAGATTTATTTATTAATTTGAAAGAGAGAAAGCAAGCACGCACAAGCAGGGGCAGCAGCAGAGGGAGAGGGAGAAGCAGGCTCCTGCTGAGTAGAGCCCCATGCGGGACTCAATCCCAGGACCCCTGAGATCATCACCTGAGCCTAAGGCAGATGCTTAACTGACTGAACCGCCCAGGCGCCCTGGACTTATGTATTTTGTAACTGGAAGATTGTACCTTTTGACTCCCTTAACCTATTTCAGCACCCCATACCCCCCCTCTGAAAACCAGCAGTCTGTTTTCGGTACCTGTGAGTTTGGGTTTTTGATTTTTAGATTCTCCATCTAAGTGGGGTCATACGGTGTTTGTCTTTCTCTGCCTTATTTTATGGAGCCTAATGCCTTCAGGGTGCACCCGTTTTGTTAGAGAAAGCACGAGCTTGTTGTCTCTGGCTGAGTAGTGCCCGCCGTGTACACGCTGCATCATTCCCCGTCCATCCGTCATGCACCCTGGGGCTGCTTCCTGTCTTGGCTTTGTCTGTAAGGCTATGGCGGACGTGAGTGCAGATAGCAGCCCAGGACGCACATGCGTGCTGGAGCCTTCCCCAGGGCTGCGGTGTGTGGCGTGCAGGCGAGGCTGCGGGCCCAGCCCGCGCTGGTCAGGCCACCTGTGCCTCTGCGCGGGCCCCAGCTGTGCAGGGTGCCACGGGCACCCGTGTAGGAGAAGGCGGGTCCCAGACTCGCAGGCGGCTGCTTCTGCTCTCTGTGGAGAACTCAAGGAGGCCAAGAGCAGGTCCAGACTATCAAGAGTTCCCATGCTGGTTGTGCTGGTTGGTTTGTGTGATACTAAAGGCATTTTAAAGCTTTTTTACAGTGTGTGCAAGAAACTTGCTCCTTTACCTTTTTTTTCTTTAAATAGTGATTTTCCTTTCGATGAATACCCAGTAGTGAAATTACTGGGTCACACGGTGTTTCCGTTTCTCGTATTTTGCGGAACGTCCGTGCCGTTCTCCAGAGCGGCTGTGGCAGCCTGCACACCCACCAGCCGTGCACAAGGGTCCCTGTTCTCCGCTCCCTCGCTGGCCCCTGCTGTCTCCCGCACTGCTGATTTTAGCCCTTCTGACCGGGGTGAGGTGGTATCTCATCGTGATTTTGATTTGCGTTTCCCTGATGCCGAGTGATGTTGCACATCTTTTCCTGTGTCTGCTGGCCACCTGGACGTCTTCTCTGCAGAACTCTCAGGTCCTTCTGCCCGTCTTTACATTGTTCACTTATTTATTGGGTATGGAGTTGCGGTGAGTTCTGCCTATATTTTGGATGTTGGCTCCTTACCGGACGTGTGACTTACGCATACGTTCATTCGGTAGGTCACACCTTTTCATTCTGTGGATGATTTCCTTTGCTGTGCAGAAGTTTTTTAGTTTCTGGCCCAGCTTGTTTATTTTCGCTTTTGGAGTCAGATCCAGAAATCACTGCCAAGATTGACATCAAGGAGCTGACCACTCCTTAATTCTGAAAACCACCCAGAGAGGTGTAGGAAAATTTTCACATCTTACAAAGCAGAAAATGTAAGCTCAGAAAGAAGTTTCCCTCGAGATTATGAGGTGGTCAGTAGCGTGGCTGGGATTTTAGGCACTTCTGCTCAGCTACAAACCCTGTCTTTCCCAGTGCAACACAGTGCCACCCAGGCCGGGGAGCTGTCTGAGCAAGGACGTGGAGACTAGAGAGTATGTGTGAGTGCTTTCACTAGGAAGGTTCGGTTGGAATTTGGGGAGGGTGTTGGAGCTGTGGTTGGAAGGGCAGGTAGGGTACCAGATCGGAGGGTGTGACACGGCAGACCTAGAACTGTGAGCAGCCTTTATCCTTTCGGTGTGGAGAAGCCAAGCAAGTGTGTGAGCTGAGAGCACATGCAGGCGAAGGGCTTCGTGTCCCCTGGCCGGACCCTGAACCTCCCATCAGACCCAGTACCTGCTGCCCGACTAGCCAGGAGGGCACTTCATTGGTGTTCAGTGTCCCTCCTTCTTTCTCTTTCCTTTTTTCCTTTCCTTTCCTTTTCTTCTCTTCGCACAGTGTGAGCTTTGAGCTCACAGCCCCGAAACCAGGAGTCACATGCTCTACCAGCTAAGCCAACTGGGTGCCCCTGTCCCATTTTTGTTTTTGAAAAAGACTTCTTCGAAAACCATTATGACTTGTTATGTGTTAGAGCTGAGAGAGCAGGTACCTCTGCAGTGGGCTGTGGGGAGCAGTTCCATGAGGAGGGCTGGAGAATGTTGGTGGGGTGTCTGGTAGCACCAGGCCCAGACTGGGTGTGGGGACCAGCCACGGAGGCATGGGGGGCCGCAGAGTAGCAGACAGTCTCAGGCCATGTGTCCTTCCATCTGAGAGCTGGGACAGGTTTGAGGGTCACGGCCCCTTCACCAAGGTCGAGCCGCTGCCTCCCTGACTTCACAGGTGGTGGGAGGGCCTAGAAACAGCTCATCAAACTGTGGCCGTCGGGTTCATGTTGGAGCCTGTTCGCATCTAAGATTGCCTTTGCCCAGACTTCTCCCCCACACCAGTTAACCATCCTTGAGATTAGCTCTGAGCCCCAGCACACGCAGCACTTGTGGCCATGGATCCCCCTCGGAATGTCCTCCTGGACCTGTGCGTGCTTGCACTGGGCGCCCAGAGGTTGTGGAGGCTGGGACTTGGAAGGCAGGGTCTGAACCAGAGCTGCGAGGCAGAGTTCTGCACCCGCTGGGAGCCAGCCTGGCTTCGGGCTGCGGGGCAGGCACCACGGACTCTAGCCCCAGCTTGGAAGTCTGTCCGAAAAAGAACGAGTGGACAGGATATTGTCGAAAGGTCCTTCCTGCTTTTGATTCTGTAATTCCTGGGGTTAATTTCTTTTTAAAAATGACATAGGAGGGGCACCTGGGTGGCTCAGTGGGTTAAAGCTTCTGCCTTTAGCTCAGGTCATGGTCTCAGGAGACCATCTCAGGATGGAGCCCCGCATCGGGCTCTCTGCTCAGCAGGGAGCCTTCTTCACCCCCCACCCCGCCTGCCTCTCTGCCTACTTGTGATCTCTGTCAAGTAAATAAATAAAATCTTTAAAAAAAAAAAAAAAATGACAGAGGAGCGGCACCCAGCTGGTTCAGTCAGTGGTGCGTGTGACTCTTGATCTCAAGGTTGTGAGTTCAAGCCCCATGTTTGATGTGAAGATTATTTAAAATCTTAATAACAACAGAAAATAATAATAAACATAGTATATGCTTATTGTGGAAAACCATAAAGCATGTAAGGATGTTGAAGCAGGTCACATCTCCCTTATGCCCCCGACACCTCTGAGTTTGGTCTACGTGCTTTTACACACCTTCAGTGTGTGTGTGTGTCTCTGTCTGTCTCTCTCTCTCTGCAGATGGGATCCTACTGTCATCCTGTCTTCTAACAGGCCTTTGTTTGACTTCCTATATCATGGTGTCCTTCCGTGTGAAACCACCAATCTTTATCATCTTACTGGCTACTGTTCTGTTGTTTGGATGTTCTGTAATTTTCGTAACTGAATCCTTCTTGCGATCTGGTTTTGCTGCTGTGCGCAGTGGACATCCTTACGCAGTATGGTGAATGTCACTGTCATCCTGTGTGGTCTGCAGCGCGAAGTCTTAGAATTGAGTTTTTGTGTCCTAAGGAATGGCTTCTTCACATACCGATAATTGTCGCTTTCTGCTTGGGGCGGGTTTCGCTGGCTTCTGCGAGGAGCGTGTGCGAGGCCTGCGTGGTCCCAGCGTTGCCGGCCGGGTGGGTACTTGGATGACTGGAGACGGGCAGGCTTGCCGCGGTCGGCAGGGCCTGTGATGGTTGCGGCGGAGAGGCTGCTCAGGTAACAGCCCGCACAGCTTCTTGCAGGAGCCAGAGTGAATGAGCTGACGAAGCATCGCCAGACGGCCCTCCATCTCGCCGCCCAGCAGGACCTGCCCACCATCTGCTCTGTCCTCCTGGAGAACGCAGTGGACTTCGCTGCTGTGGATGAGAATGGAAATAACGGTGGGTGCCCTCCGCAGTGCCCCTAGTCTGGAGGTCGAGGTGCTCCGCACCCTGGCCTGCCCTCCTCGGGGAGGCTGGTTTCCACAGCAGCAGAGCTGTGGCAGGGAGGGCTCTGTGCTGGGCTCCCTCGGACTGTTCCGGGCAGCTTCCTCCCGAGCTCTGCGGTGGTTTCCGGTGAAGCCCTGAAGTCTTCGCTCGGGGTGACTGCAGACGCAGAGTGTGCGGTCTGCCGGGGCTGCGTGCACGACTCCGGTCTGGGGGGTGGTGAGGCCGGGCAGCCGTGGCTGTGTGAGTGGCCGGGGGCTGCTGTGGCTGCGTCCTGTTCCGAGGGAGCTTGTAAAGAGGCCATGTTTCCCGTGCCCGTCCTGGGCTTGCCCAGTAAGGGGGTTTACCCTGCAGCTCTGCATCTCGCGGTCATGCACGGTCGGCTCAACAACATCCGGGTCCTCCTGACTGAGTGCACCGTGGACGCCGAAGCCTTCAACCTGCGGTGAGTGTGTGTGGCTGGAGCAGAGGCCTGGGCTCCACGCCACCTGGCCTGCCCTCACCGCCGTGGTCCCCGTGCCTCGCAGGTCCACACTGTAGAACTAACTGGCCAGTAGCGCACTTGACCGACTTTGGTAGCTTGGAGTGTTTCTTTCTGAAAAATACTTTGTAGAGAAACTTTGACGACCTAGTCAGTGTTCTTAAATTTATCCGGCATCACGGGGGTCAGAAAATTACATCTTTTGTGCGTGACCCCGCTTTTCCCACTTGCTCTGCCAGCGGCCAGTCGCCGCTGCACATCCTGGGACAGTACGGCAGAGAGAATGCAGCGACCATCTTCGAGCTGTTCCTGGAGTGCATGCCCGAGTACCCTCTGGATAAGCCGGATGCAGAAGGGAACACGGGTATGTCAGCGTGCGTGGCTGCCGTCCCCACTCCCTGGGCTCCCGCCTTCCGAAAGGACAGGAGCCCGGGCCCACACGTCATCCTTGGAGGGCACCTGCCTGCGCATCGGGAGGGGCTCTCGGATCATCTGTCCCTGGAGCCCCCGTGGTGTTCTGCAGTGTCTGATTTGGGGCACATGCATGTCGGAAGTGTCTGGAGAACTCCCCAGCCACGCTCCCGTCCGCACGCCTGCCTGTGTTTCCTGTCCTCCTCTGCCCCTTGTCTGGCCCTGCACGCACTTCCGGGGCGGGGGGGGGTGTGCTGTGGTGTGTGTTGATGGGCTTCAGAAACGTGGCCCGTTTCGCACATAGAGGCAGGAGTCCTGTGGAGGCCCTCCTGTGGCGCTGCTCCAGTGCCCACGGTCATGGCGCTAACTCGTGTGGTTGTCCCTGCGTTTCTGAGGGAGTCTTGCATGTAGACGCTTGTGCAGTGCCTGCAACCCCCCGTTAGCAGTGCAGACAGGGCGTCCCCATTTTTCAGGTAGGGAAACGGGTGAAACCGGCCTGGGCTCCCAGAGCCCTGCGCCGCTGCCGCGCTCCCGTTCATTCTCCCTCCCGCCAGACAGCGCCGCCTCGGCCTTTGGCAGCAGCGTGGCGTCCCAGGAGCGTCCGGAACCTTCAACGGGCGCACGTATCCTATCTGTTCTTGGCCTTGGCGTGTGAACGTGTTGTGCTGAACCTGGGTCTAGGGAGTCGGCTGCGGGAGTGGGTTGTGGGCCCGGCACCCGCTGCTGTGCCCCGCTGCCCAGGAACCGGAAACGGGCAGGCGGGCATTTCTTGTCAGGCTCAAGTGCACAGACCCGGTTCCCAGTGCCTTGCTCTGTTCTTGGTGGTGCCGCTGGGCACTTTTGTGACCTCTCTGTGCCTCTTTCCTTATTTGAAATCATCGCCCCGTCCGTCTGCACTGTTGAGAGGACGGAGTGAAGGGGGGAGTGCAGGGTGTTAGCGAGGGAAGCGACAGGCCAGCAGGGGCCTGGCTGGAGCCTGGGAGTCCAGAGGGCTGGTGCCTGCACGGGAGGCCTCCCCGGGGTAGAGGGTGAGCCCAAGCTGACTTTTCTCTCCACGTATTCTGGTGTTCTTGTGTCACGTAACTAGGGCTTTGTCCCCCTGAGCGCGTGCCAGAGGTGGGCAGCTGAGACAGAGGCCTTCCTTCCGGGCCTCCTCCCGTGTCTGGTCTCTGCTCACGTCTCTGGAGTGGCGTGCTCACCAGGCCCCAGAGCGGCCCTGCATGCCCCGGGCTCCTGGCCCTGGACTGGACAAAGCTGCGTCCCCCATGGAGGTTTCCCAGAGTGTCCGCAGGGCCTTTGCTGGCACGCACGCTGCCAGGGTCTGTGCTCACCTCAGCCGGGCCTGGGTAGGAAGGAGCCCTGCTGCTGTTTCGTTTTCCAGTGCTGCTCTTGGCGTACATGAAAGGGAATGCCAACTTGTGCCGCGCCATTGTCCGCTCTGGGGCTCGCCTTGGGGTCAACAATAACCAGGGAGTCAACATTTTCAACTACCAGGTCGCCACGAAGCAGCTTCTGTTCAGACTGTTAGGTGAGTGGCTCCTTCCTGCTCCTCCAGGGCACACAGTCCCGGTGCGGGTCGTCTAGCTGTCCTGGTGACCTCTGAACCCCAGAGTGCGCCCATGCGTTCCTGGCCCTGTATACAGCTTCCTGTGAGGGCCGTGGTGGGAGAGGGGCTGTGAGCAGTCTCTTCCCAGAGTGCTCTCGGGCCCCAACTGCTCCCGGCTCCCCGATCTCACCAGCAATCCATGAACTCCCGGGTCACCCGTGCACGAGTCCAGCAGTCCCTGCACGTCTACGTCCAGGCTCTCCACGTCCTCTGGGACAGCCTTCTGCTTCTGCCCCCACTGACCCCACCCACCCCATTCCCTCTGTGGCAAGGAGAGCGGCACTCTGCGTGGTCTCGTATTTGCCAGCATCACCCTGTCCCTGTTGAGGTGGCAGTGGTGACCTGTCCAGCGTCCCCGAGTGGTCCACAGCAGAGCCGGTGCCCATGCACAGTTCGTCTCACACCCCTGCTGTTTGCAGCGCATGTGGGCCGCCTTCTCAGAGCTCAGGGCGGGAGCCATCTGGGGCGCTACTGTGGAAGGTGCTGGGCGGTGACCAGCCCCGCGCTGTTCCTGCCGTGAGGTCAGGCCACGTGCACAGGCAGGGCGCTCTGGGCAGCAGAGAGCTGGTGTTCAGCCTGGAGATGAGTCACGGTTCTGTTACGCGTGCTGGTCACTCCCGGCCCGAATGCTCCGCAGCCCACACCAAGCCCTCAGCCGCTCTTGCCTCCTCCCGGCCCCTTGTCGCCTGTGGTGTTCATTCTAGGTCTGTCCCTTCCCCGCTGGCTCCTTGCTGTGTGGCCCCTGCTGGTCTTCCCAGCCTGCGGTCTCTCTCCCACTGTGCCTCCTGCTCTGGCCGCCCCTGGTTGCCCAGGTGCCCCCGCAGATGCTGTGCTGTCACAGCGTTGAGCACTGCCCCTCCTGCCCCAGTCTGCCTGGCAAGTGCTAGGCTCCAGAGCCTTCCCCCGTGTCGCTCCCACGCCCACGTCACTGCGACGGCCCCCAGGTCGCCTGGCACGGTCACTTTGATGGGGACGGGGCCTCTCCGTCCATCCTTGCAGACATGCTGTCCAAGGAGCCTCCATGGTGCGACGGGTCCACCTGTTACGAATGTGCCGCCAAGTTTGGAGTCACGACTCGCAAGCATCACTGGTAAGGCCCCAAGGTCGCCCTCCAGAGGGCCAGTGGCTCTCCTGTCCCTCTCTGCTTCTGCCTTTCTCCGCAAGAAGCCATGGACCTGCCGGGGCCCTGCGCTGGCGACGCTGCTGTGGCCGGTGTGTGCAGGAGGGCGGGGGGGCTTGGCTGCGCTGAAAGCTGAGGGGCTGAGCCTGTGAGGACGAGCCCCGTGTTGGGCTGTGCCGAGCGGCTCTTGGTTTGTTTTTTGTTTTTTTTTTTGGGGGGCTCTTGGTCTTTGACGAGCCTTCCTCACAGGCGCTGTAACGTGTGTGTGGGGCTGGTGGCACTGCTGTGGCCGCTGGAGGCCCCCTCACGCCCCCTTGCTTTGCTTCCACAGCCGCCACTGCGGACGCCTTCTGTGCCATAAATGCTCGACCAAGGAGATTCCTATTATAAAGTTTGATCTGAACAAGCCCGTGAGGGTTTGCAACATTTGCTTTGATGTACTGACTCTGGGAGGGGTCTCTTAGGGATCCCCCAGGCCACATCCCGGTCGCCTCGCCGGCAGCTGCTCTGCTCAAGAGCCTGACCCACCCAGAGCAGGGGCTGGCCGTCCTGTCTTCCTGCGGAACAGACTGAACGATGAAGGACCCAGGGGGGATTGACCCCATTACAAGGATTCCATTGGGTTGTCCGTGTGTCCGACTGTGATCGAGGTCACTGACGACTTGGTGGACCAAGTTGTGTCGTCTCAGCGGCACCTGTGACAAGAGTTGGACCCCATTCTGCTTGCAACATACAGGGACACTTGGAAAACCCCTCCCCTCCCAGTAGTTTAGTGTCCGTGTGGAGCAATCCCGTGGTCTTCCTGCGCTGGCGGCCGGGCGGGTGGGAGCCCGCGGGGGGCGGCTGGTGGCTGGCGGCCCCATGAGCGCTGCCTTCGCTCTGGGTAAGTGGCAGCGCAGTGTTTCCTCAAAGATTATAGGATCCTCTTGCCCCAAGGCTTGTTTTTTAAACGTGAGCTGATATTTTTAGTGAGCTGCCCCTTTAAAAAAAGGTGAAATCTTTCTAAACAGGGTTCAGAGATGAGAGCTGAAAAATCGTGGCCTTAACAACCGAAAGCTTTACCTGGCTTCAGGAGTGCAGCGTCTGGTTCTCTCGTCTGGCCGCATGCCGTGCGTGGAGGCTTCGCTCTGCCATCAGGGCGCGCTGGCGGAGGCACACTATGTGTTGCGTGTCGTGTAGAGCCGTGCTCTGGGGGGTTCGACGTCCACACCTGTACTCAGAGCCCACCTTGCACATGCACGTGCTAGTGACTCTGACGATTGGCCCTGATAGGGCCACAGCGCGCACGGGGCTGCCGGGCATCCCCGGGAACCCGCGGGTGACCCGGGCCCAGCGGCGGGGTGTTAAGGGGGATTGTGTGGCCTCCGGCCGGCAGGCGCAGGGGCCCACGGTTCATAGAGGCCTGACTAGAGGGTGCGAGCAGGTTTGGAACACGCTGGCCTATCCGTGGAATGAGGCCCCTGAGCTTTGGGGACCTTCGTTGCTGCTAGTGTGTGTTGCTAACCCTGTGGCGCTGAAAAGCTCCTTTTGAACGTTTAGCCAGTTTTAAAAAAATGCACATTTAGAGAAACTTCTTCACTGCTTTACAGAAAGAAACTCTGGATGAACACGTGTGCCCGTGAGTTACTCTCAGAGCTTAGCAGGGTCGATCGTAACACCGCCTTTTCAGACCGTGAGCAACCACTGCATTGTTTTTGCGCTAATGAAGTGTGGGTGTATGTGTAAAGGGACTAAATATCTTGGCAACAGCCTGCTTTTTTTGGTTTGTTTTTTGGACGGTGGTCTGTCGTCTCTGTTGCTGTAGATTTATACAGTCTGTTGCCTAAATGTGTGTGTAAAACAAGCTGATAAGCCAGAGTGCTACTTTTTAATATTTCTGTCATTTATGAGATATATATGCTTTCTATGTTAACATGAGCTTGTGCACAATGTTTAAAAGAATCAGAAGAGTCCCCTGGTCTTCTAAAGTCTGTGACACGTTTCCTGTAGAACTTCTGCAGAGGAACAACTAGTCTTGGCAGACACTTGCCCACGTGAGGCCCGTGGTCAGCTGAGCAGGACCACGAGGAAGTAGGGCTTCGTGAGGTAGCCCGGTTCTTTAGCTGGAAAGTAAGATAATTATGCTTCAGATGTGAATCGAGGCAGTTGGTACTTTTATGCTCGCTCTTTCCACATTCAGGGTGGAGAGCAGAGGCTGGGAAGCCCATCAGGGGTCGGGCTGACGTCCCGCTCCTGCCCTGCCGTTACCAGTTTTAGTAGCCGTCTTGCCTCTCGTTGCACTTAAGTCCTCAAGTCCTGTCTAAAATACGCCGAGGCCAGCTCCTCTTTGTTCCGGTCCGGGGATGGCAGTGGTGCCGGGTGGCCCCAGAGCGGGCAAGCGTTTTAGGAGTTCTGCATGGCTTCGCTGTGTCCTTGAACGTGCGGCAGGACCACGGGGTTCTTGCTGGGCTGCACGAGGTGGGTTCTGTGGCGGCTGCCTGTGGGGCTCCCGCGTCCCAGCCCTTGCTGGCACTGGCCATGCTGCACGACTGTGGGGCTGTCCCCGTGTCACTTCGGCCTGTAGCCCAGCTGCTAGCGGCAACATTTCACTCGCAGCCCTTGAGAGAGCTGCTGGTTGCCCCGAGGTCCGGCGTGCGCATCCGCGTGTGGCGCCGCCTCAGCTCGGCCGGCCTCCTGCCCGGCGCCAGGCCCACTGCATGTTGACCTCCGCCTCGGCCCGCGTGCGTGCCCGCGGCCTCACCTAACTGGCTGCAACTCCCAGCGCGGGAACTGGCCACCCAACTTAAGTGCCTACACTTGGGACTTTCCGGTTCTGGTGGTCTGGGCAGACGATGGGGCAGAACGAGTGCTGTGTCCGGGGTCTGCGGCCTGCGTGGTGTCTCCCCGCCACACGCTCCAGCAGTGGGGTCCCTGCGCCCGCTGGCCCTCTACCTCAGCCCCAAGTCACTGTGGCTGTGCCTGCGTAGAGGCCAGCAGCCCAGCAGGTTGGCCACCTCTCCACACGTGCCCCCGCCTGGCCCGCCGCCTGGGACTGCGCCGGCCTGGTCCTTAGATGCAAAGTGGGGGGCGTGCCTCAGGAGGGGCTGCGTGAGGCTAAGACCCAAGGGGTGCACTGGGCCCCCAGACGACAGTGGTACCGCGCAGGGCAGTGGGACGCGGTCCTCACAGGCACTGAAGGTCTTCCGGGACCGGGACTGCTCCCCTCATGACGGGCCCCTCCGTGGGGGCAGGGGCTGGGAAGCCACATTGTCATCGTCATTTAATGCAGTAATCGCAAGGAGCTAGTGCTTGACCAGATGCAAACTGAACACCGAAGCAGCCCCCACTTACATGACTGTGTAAGTCGTCACACAGCCTTAAAGACGTTCTCCAGAAGATCGCTGCCTGCGCGCTCCCTTTGGTCGCACAAACCCCGCGCTGACCTGTCGCACTTGGCACACAGGCTTTGTAGCAGGGAGACCTGACTTGGCACCCGCTGGGCTTCGTAGCTGGTCCTCTTGTGGCAAAGGCATCTGGCTGGCTGTTGCCATGACAGCTGTGCGACGGCGGGGAAAGGGTGGTCGCGGGGCAGGAGCAGGAGGTGCGCGTTTGGGAGGATCCCTTGGGCTTCCTGCCACGCAGGGCGTTGCTCCCTGCAGGACGGCGGCCTTGGGGTGGGACCAGGAAGGCGCGGATCAGTGGTGTTCTCTTGGGGTCTGCGTCATGGAATGTATTTTTTAAATACTGATATTTGCATTTTCTGTAACCATTCCTTACAATAAGATGAGGTAAAATTGTGCATTTAAAGTGGAAACTTCGGCAAGACATTTGTAGTCACTTTTTAATGCAGAAATACCAATAAGCATTAAAAACGGATTTTTAACTCCTGACATGTGAACCCACTTCTTGAGTAGCTCACCCTCTAGGAAAGTTGGAATTTCCAGCACTTTTCGGAAGCACGTTGATGGCCGCGGTTCTAAAGTACCTGTGCTAGGCGTGAGTGACCAGCCACCTAGACGTGCCCGGGGCCGACGTCAGCCCAGGCAGCCACGCTTCCCCTCCGACCTCTCCCGCGGTCCCGGCCCCAGGCAGGGTTCTGCCGGCCCTGGTCTAGCGGGCGGATTCCAAGAACACTAGAGGAAGTTCGGGGACTTGAGGACCAGAGCTGAGGGGCTCACAGAGCCCCTGAAAGGATCCTGCGACTCTCGCCGTGCCCCGGGCCCTCGCGTGTGCTGGTCTTCCGTCTTCCAGCCTGTCCCCCTGGGGTTCAGACCCGCCGTGGAGACGGAGACGGAGCTCATTCTCTGCTGGCTTCTCTCACGGCTGACAGGCACGGTTAAGTGCCTCCAGGGGACAAGCCCGCGTAACCCTCACAGCCGCCCTGGAGGGGAAGGCTAGTCGGAAGGTGTGTGAACCCATGAGAACCCTGAGAACGGGGCCGGCACAGACCCCCGCACTGCCCAGTGAGGGGAGGGCGCTGGCTCTCTGCTCTGCTGTTCCTGATGCACTGACAGTACTGGCAAGTTCCGGACCTCTGGGCCTTAGTGCCTGCATCCGTGGAGTGGGAGCGGTGACCACAGTCCTTCCTGGTTCACAGTCCCCCCGAGGGAGGTCATCAGAAATGGGTGACGTGCCCGCCTCTGATGCAAGGACACAAGGTCCCCTCCACTGGGAGCTGATGGGGGCTCTGGTGGGGGCGGAGGGTTTGCTTCATTTTGGTCTGAGCGGCACCACGGATTTCGGGACAGACAGGGTCCAGCCTGTGCGTGGGCCTTCCAGGTCCCAGAGCTAAACAAGTCAGGGGTGGGCAGTGGTCTGGAATGGCTCCCTCTGGGGGGGCAACCCTGCCCCAGAGAGCGGGACGCAGACGTGGGGGAACCGCTCAGCTCAGCTCTGCTGTGCGCCTGCTCTGGGCGATCCGAGGGCTGGCGGACAGGTTGAAGAACCGCCCGGGATCATCTCCCTCACAAGCCATCTTCCCTGCCAGAACTGCCCTGGGGGCCTCCTGTGCCGAGCTCTGCCCCGGGGGCTGCCTCTGGAAGAGAGCTGCCACCCCAGGAAGCCCGAGCTTCATCTGAGCAAGCCCGAGCCCGCCACCCCACACGAGGAGCACTTCAAGGTCAAGTCCGTGCGGTGGCGAAGAGGAAGTGAGCCGCCTGCAGCTGGGGCAGTGGGGTGCCTGGGGCCCTCCATGGCTGCACTAGGCTGGGATGGGGGGGGCAAATGTCTCATTCGGCTCATTTCCATTGCCAGTTTGTTTTGGGAGAGTCTGCACTTCTCTGGGCCAGCCCCCACACTGGCCCTTGTTCCCACCCTGAGGATGGCCTCTGGGGCTCTAGCAGGGCTCCCGCTGCCCACTGTACCCTCCATGAGGTGATCCTCCCCTGCCCCCCCACCCCCCAGCACCCAGGTGCCTGCAGGGACGGAGCGGTATGGAAGGACGCACACAGCACTGAGTCGGGGCAAGAACCTGGAACACAAGGTCCCGCTCCACTGCTCGGTGCTGCCCATCCGTGCACTTACCCCGGGCTGGGTACCAGGGGTACAGGATACCAGGCTGGGGAGCCCTCAGTCCCTGTGCAGGGAGAGTGGCCGATGGGAAACTCGGGATGTCATCTCAGAACAAGGCTGCCACAGACACAAAACCCAGCTGGCAGGCCAGGGTGCACGGGTGGTGGGAGGTCACTGAAGGTGTGTGTGGGGGGGAACGCCCTGGCCGTCCAGGGTGACTGCTCACAGCAGCACAGGGTGGTGTGGGAGGCAGGGCATGGACACTCGCCGCATCCAGGCAAGAAAGGACAGCTGGGAGCTGGGGAGGTTGCTGGGGTCGTCACGTGGTGTTACAAGGGGTATACGGCCACGGAGACCTCACCAGGTGACCAAATTCTAGAAACGTGGGGTCAGGGTGCCTGGGAGTGATCCAGAGAGCCGCCAACCTGACGCAGCTGAAGTGGGAGTGAGAAGACCCGGGGGGTGCGCTCATTGGCCCAGAGGGTGTCTGGGGAGAAAAGGGATCAGGCAAGAGCCAAGGGAGGGTTTCTCGGAGGTCCTCAAGCATGGCCAGTCCAGGACCGGCGTGGCCGAGGGGTGAGAAGGGCAGAATCCAGCCTGCCACATAGCGGGCGGGGGCCAAGAGAAATGGGCTGCAAGCACACGCCTGAGCTCACGGTTTCAGTGGTGGCCAGAGGCACATCAGAGTCGGAGGAGCGTTTCCTTTGGGAGGGAAGCAAGGGTTTGGTGCATGGGGGTGGGGGGAGAGCGGCAAGGTAGGGGGGGGTGGGGGCGCAGGCAGGTCCCCAGGAAGAAGCTCCTCCAGTCGGTCGGTCGGCACAGGGGTGATGGCCGGCCCTGGAGGGGAGTGGCAGCGCGGCGCTGAAGCCACTTCTCGTCAAAAATCAGGCTTCCCCCACCTAATTCTGAATGTTGATGAGAAAGATCATCCTCGCTTCAAACTGTCGCTCGGGGGCGTCTGGATCTGCCGCCCCCTCTGGGATCAGCCCGTCCCGTTTCGCCCACGTCTCCAACTAGATGTGGCCCGGCTCAGGGTGGAGATAAGGTCGGGGCTCGGATTAGCCTGGGGGACCCAGGGCTTCTCTGGATGCGTCTGCCCGTCACTGAGGTGCAGGGGAGTGATGCTGTCCCTCCTTGGCTGGTGGGGGGCCGGCAGGCCCGATAGTTTTGAGTGGCTCAGATCTGGGCGCGCGCCTGTCCGAGGGCTCTGAAGGACGGTGAGTGGGTCACAAGCAGGCTGACCGGGGACCAGGCAGGTTGGCACGCTCTGGCCTCAGCCATGGAAGCGTCAGCGTCCAGACCCAGGCAGGGTTCTGTGGCTCCCTGCCATCCGGGGCACTGGCTCATGGTGGGAAGGAGCAGCTGCTGGCCAGGGGTGGGCAGCCTGTGTACTCGCCCAGGCTGGGGTGGTCCAAGTCCCCACGGTTTGTGTGCGTGGGGAGGCCAGGTGCCTGGCCGCTGGGGGGTCCGGTCGTTCTCACGCACACACAGTGGGGCTCCTTGGCTCCTGGCTTGTACAGCTTCCGGGGGACCCCGACCCAGTCTCTGCTCACGCCTCCGCTGAGGACAGAACAGAGATGACGGCTTAGCAGCAGGAACTCGTGAGTCTCTGGGGGTAGCGAGCAGGGGAGGCCACCTGGCATTTTCCCAAGGCGGGGGTCTGCGGCGTGCGTCCCCTGACCTTCCGGCTCTCCTGACTTCCTCCAGTGTCCCCTGCCGTGGGCAGAGTCCACCACCCTGTCCCGGCGCTCCCGGGCCCTGCCCTGCACCTTCCCAGGCCCCTGCACCTTCCCAGGCCCCGCACTGCTAACCCCCCGGGGAATGCTCGCCCCTGCTGGCCTGTGAGTGGCACCCTAGTGCCTCTCGCCCTCCCTCCCTCCCCCTCCCTCCACACCCAGTCCCTGTCTGAACTCAGGCCTCCTTTGTTGCTTCTGCAGGGAGGTAAAACAACAGACGGGGCTAAGGCAGAGGGACAGGGTGGGCTCACTGGGGCAGGGACGGCAGTGACGCCGGAGGGGGCCACTGAGCCTGGCAGACAGGCCCTCCGGTGGGCATGCCAGGTTCCTTGAGCCCCTCTGTGGAGAGCAGACCCTGTCTCTTCAGAACCGGAGAGCAGCTTTCCTCCCAACCCTCTGGGCCTGCTCCCTGCGCCACGGTGGAGGAAGCGGGACAGATACAGGCCTGGCCTGGGGAGAGCCAGCAGCTCCGGCTGTTGGCTCTCGTCGCACAAGGGATCCGCCTCCAGGAGGGCAAAGGGGGCTCCGCATGGATGTGCACAGCTTACACCTCAGGGAGGCGCTTCCTGGCCCCTCTGGGGGAGAGCTGGGCTCGCACTCGAGGCCCTTCAAGCTTGCTGTGTGGGCCAGGGGGCCAGGGTCCGTCTTAAGGGGAGTTAAGGGTCATGAGGGCCTGAGGATTTGGGCAGAAAACACTGGTTTCTCCTTCAGCTCCTCAACAAGCCTGGACTAATCCCTGGGGCATTTGCCCTGACTGGGCTCCGCTCGCCGATCTCTGTGGGAAAGGGCTTCTTGGAGACACTTGGCAGTTGCCGTGTTTCCAGAACAGGGCTTGGGGCATCGAGCCATGGCCAGCCCCGCCTCCTTGTCCCCGTGTGCCGAAGGCAGCCCTGATTTGTGTGGACCAGGAGCGACGGAGGCCTTTGGTGGGTCTCCAGGCCAAAGTGAGCCTTTCTACTTGGACCTTCTCATCCCCAGGCCGGGTTTCTGGGCAGTTCAAACCACACACACACACCTGGGTTCCCCCCAACCTCCCCTGGTTGTCAGGGACCCCAGAAGCCTCAGACACCGAGGCACTGTTGAGACCTGCTCCCCAGAGCACCTGTGCTCTGGAAGAGCCCGCCTGGGTGGGCAGCTGGGCTACAGAGTCACCGAGCCCGACAGGATGAGTCGCACAGGTGCCTGCATACCTCTCCGGGGAGCACCAGAGCCGGCCGCCCCTCCTGGAGCTCCACTCAGCGTTGCACGGTGGGAATATCTGCTTCTCTTCCAGCGCCCGTCGGCCCGCCTCTGCGCCTTGGGAGATCATGGCCTCCACGCGGCTCAGTGCGGGGGTGGGGAGGCCGTCCTCTCCGTAGAACCTTCCTGTCACCCTTCCTGCAGGGACGGAAGAGCCAAGCTCAGGGTCGCAGAGCGACGGACACAGCACCTCGCCCCCACGGTGAAGCCCAAGCTCCCAGGGTTTCGGGCTCTGGACTGAGAACCCTCAATGTCTGACAAGACCCCGCAGAGATGGGCCTCTAGGCGCGGGCTCCCCTACATGGGGGCCGCCCACTCTTCCCATGTGCAGACGGCGCTTTCCCGGGAGCAGAGCCGCACGTGACTCCTTCCTCGGTGCTCCACGGTGCTGGAGGCACGCGGGACGTGTTGCGTCGACACACGAGGGACCGGCTCCTTGCGTCCAGGGCTCTGCTCACCCACCGTCCACTCCCGACAGGCCTCTCTGGGGTCGGCTCTAAAGGGGCCACAAGGCACCCCCCCAACACTCCTCAGTCCGTTTTACTTAGACATAGCCCTATCTGGAATTGTGTGGCTGCTTTACTTGTTCACGAGTCTATCCCCCACCCCCAGCAAGGCCCCAGCATTCAAAACAGCCCAGTGCAGAGCACTCGTGTTCTGCGCTTGTTAGGCCACACGGGGGGATCAGGGCGCTAGCCCCAGCCTGTAGCCTGAATCGGTCTTGCGGAAACCTCTCCCCCGCAGGATCTCTGTGTGCCTGGCGACAAAACCGTCGTGCTAGGTTTTAGCCATGAGACCCACAGAGAGGCAGGAGTCCTAGAGGCAACAGAGAAAGAGCTGGAGAAGCCGTGTCCTGAGAACGGGGTCACCACTGGTGAGGGCTCCCAGCCAACACTGTATCCAGAACACAGAGACTCATCTGCCTCCCATGTGCCTGAGGCTGGGCCCCGGCTGCTGAGTCGCCCTCCCGTCCTCACCGTCGTGTGTGCGGGTAGTAAGCCCCCTCCCCTGACGGGGCTCTTCAGGCCCGAGCGATCCTGCCCCCACCCGCCTCCTGCAGAATGAGCCAACAGCTGTAGGACCCGCACTCAGCTCCTCCCGGGTCCGGTCCCCATCACTCATCCACGGCAGGCATTCAAGTACATGCCGACCCTGCTCTCGAGCCCTCCCCTGACCGCCCGCCTGCATGCACGCTAACCCTGGCCAACCACGGCAGAGCTCCCCAAACTCCAGGATGACACACCTAGTCGGACCGCCGGTGCCCACTCTCAGGGCTCTATTCTTACTCTCTGTGTTAGGAGTCCCTTTCCTTACTAGCCTGGCAGTATTTCAAGCAACCTCCCGGGGAAAAGGGAGAAACCAGCCTCCTGGAGGTCCCGAGTGCCCAGTCCCTCCAGTGCACACGTGGCTGTGGCTACATGAATGACCTGGGACAGCCGGCTGGAAACAGAAGGGGATGTGCAGGCCGGGAGGACAGGAGCCAACCGAGTGTGTGCGCTGGAGGATTGGACACACAGAGGACCATGCAGGTTCTGGGCAGCTGGATGTGGAGGGAGCAGAGTAGCTGTACGAAGGCCAAGGTTCTCAGAAATGGAGCCCGGGTGGTCAAGACACAGCAGCTGTCAGAGGCATTAGGGGCAGAGGAAGAGCATGTTCCACTGAGACCGCGGGGCTGGTGAGGGCACTGACATTCCCCAGGAAGTCAGCTGCAACCACCTGGGCTCCAGAGAGGGAAGAGGGCCCAACAGCCCGATTTTCAGTGTTGACAAAGCACTCTAGTGTTTAGACTCTAAAATGTCTTTATGTCTTTAGGACACTGTGAGGTGTCTGTTTTGAACATGACCCTGTCCTTGCTTGCTCCTTGCTGGTGACCCACGTAGTGCTGGGCACAACTGGTTCAACGAATGTTTGGGAGGCAGCTCCTTCGGGACGGATGCAGACTTAAGGCTGGGCTCCTAACAGGGCTAAATAAAACTGTGTTTGTCAAAACTGCCCACAAATGTAGGCTTCAAGCCTTCCTGACTGGGTGCGGCGGAAGCCCGATGCCTGGGGCCCAGCCAGGCTCCCGGAGCTGGTTGTCTGAGATGCTGCAGGCAACCCCTGGCCAGAGGCCAAAGAGGCCAAGGCAAACGGCTGGGCCATCTTCTCCCAAGATCACGAGGGAGGGAAACAAGTGTCCTAGACATTGCCTAGTGTAGACTCACGGCCACACTAACAACCAGAGTTTAAGGGGAAAATGCCATGGGTATTGTGTGGGTTTTAAACCTTGGTCCAATTTCCAAAGAACTCTAAGTCTTTTAAAAAACTGCAGAACGGGACACCTGGGTGGCTCGGTCATTCGTTGAACATCTTCCTTCATCTCAGGTCATGATCCCAGGGTCCTGGGATCGAGCCCGTATCAGGCTCCCTGCTCCACGGGAAGCCTGCTTCCTCCTCTCCTACTCCCCTACTTGTGTTCCCTCTCTGGCTGTGTCTCTCTGTCAAATAAATACAATCCTTAAAAAAAAAACCAAAAAACCTGGGACAACTTAATGGAATCTATGGAAATGACCTGTGGGATTACCTACCAACGAATTTGTAATTCTTCTCGTAGAATGAAAGCCAATTTTGAAGGACCAGCACCTCCGAAAACGACAAGTCAGCTACGTCGTCCACCAGGCCCGCTTCTGAGTAGTCCCCAGTCACAAACGCCCTGGATGCATCTCGGCCTGCAGGGGACAGGTTTCCAAACAGATGATCCTCTTGGTCACAGGCACCGTACCAACTCAAGAGCCCATCTTCTGAGAAACATGGGGGATCCCGTATTCCTGATCTCCAAAAACAGCTACCCCTCCCGCCCCGCTGGCGCAGATGCTCCTGGATCTGCAACACGCTGTGGCACTTACCCCTGGCGTCGTGTCTGCTCAGCAGCGCTTGGCACAGCTGATCGTGCCCGCTTCCACGACATGACGCTCCTGGCCTCCCCCTCCCTCATGGGCTTGTCTTCCACCAGCTTTCAGGCTCGGTTCTTGCCCACCTCCTCTGCTCTAACTGCCCCCCCCCCCCCCCGCCCGACAATCTCCTGTGGTTCCAAAACCACCTCTAGGTCAGCAGTCGCCAGGTTGGTATCTTTGGCTCAGACTTCTGAACTCCAGAGTGGTATATCCCATCATCTAGTCAGCATCACCTAGATATTCCACAAACATCCCAAGTTCAAAATGTCCACCCTCCACTAATCAGCACCCCAGCCCCACGAAACCTGCATGTCTTCTAGAATTTCATAGCTCAGGAACTATCAACCAGATACTCAGTCCAGAAATGCAGTCTGCAACAGGGACACCTCCTTTAGCCCTCAAATCACAGCAGTCCCCGAGTCCTTCAGTTTCCTAAGTAGCCGCATCAGTCTGCCTTTCTGCATCTGCCACGAAGCAGGCCCAGCCCGCCACTGTCCCTCATCCAAACTACTACAGTAAACCCTAGTGGCTCTCCGTACGCTCTTTCCATACAACATGGAGACTGGTATTTTAAACGTGAACTGATGTCATTCTCTTGCTGAAAAATCCTTAGTGCCTTCTTCCTCTGGCACTGGAATGATGTCCAGATCCCTCAGCGGGCTACTCAGGGCCCTATGGCACTGGCCGGCAGCCTTGCCTTGCCACAAGTCAAGGGGGACAGAGTGTCACCTGAAAAATGTCGATGCGCCATCTGGCGTGCCTTGAGCTTCCCTACTGAGCTTAAACCCAGGGTCACTTGATAGAATGGAGCACTGAGTCCAATCAGAAGTTGCAAATTGTCCCCATTTCAAAATGTCTGAGCATCTCAATATATCCTACAGAAATGGGGCCCTTGAATGCTACGCAGCAAGGAGAACTCTTAAAATGATGGCGTCTAGGGCCAAGAATGATGACAGCCATTTATGGCCAATAGCCAAGAGCTAATACCGGCTTTGTGACTCAGCAAGCACCGGACAGATGTGTGTGCGGCTAGTGGCGGCACAGGGCTTATAGTGAGGTCCTGCCAAGGTACTGTGATCTGAGTGATTATAGCAGAAATGCCAGCCAATTATTTTGGGCTGGAAAAAAAAATGTATCTAAAATCTGTATTTTCATTAAAAATATGTATTTTTTACAGTTAGGAAAATCTTTTATGTGCTTACTCAGATTTACGTATCTAATAAAAAAGATATTCCCTGACAGCTGGAAAAATGGGTCAGTGATAATATTAACCACACGCTGTGCTCCTCTTCCTCTCCCTCCTCTACTCTTACGTTAGGGCCTCCAGTAACTCAAGTATTTCTTCCTCCTAACACCTGTCACAAAAATACTTCATCAACTGTTGATGTAATAACTATCCACTGTCGGCCTTTTCTACTGGTCTGCAAGTTTTATCATGGCAGAGAACACACCGACGCAGGACTGATTCCCCGGTGTCTGGCGGTGCCTCCTCTTTAGTAATTGTCAGTGAACACCAGCTGAATGAAACCCATGCACTGACAGTTTTCAGTACGTCCATTCTCACTAATTACTTTCAATAATTCAAACGGGGAAAGAATAGTGTTTCCAACCAATGGTGCTTGGAGAACTGGATAGCGACATGCAGAGAATGAAAACAGACCCGCACCTCACAACATATATAAAATTAACTCCAAACAGATCAATGACATGAATGTATGAGCTCAACCTGTAAAACCCTTAGAAAAAAAACACAGGTGTAAATGTGCCCTTCGGTTAGGTGATAGTTTCTTAGCTAGGACACCAAAAACACAAGCTAACAAAGAAAAAAATAAACTCGATCAAAATTTTTAAATTTTGTGCATTAAAGCACACTATAAAGAAAGTGAAAAGACAACCTACGGCAGGGGAGAAAATATTCACAAACCAGGGATCTGGTCAAGGTCAGTATCCAGAGTATATAAAGAACTCTCACAGCTCAATAATAATAAGACAACCCATTTAAAAAGCGGAAAAGGATTTGAACAGACATCTCTTCACGGATGACACACAAATGGTCAACAAGCACATCAAAAGATGCTCCAGGTCACAGTTATTAGGGAAATGCAATAGTAGAAACCACAATGGGCTACCGCACCAAACCCATTAAACGATATAATCGAAAAGACGGCCAATTTGGCAAGAATGTGGAGAAACTGGAACTCTACTACACTGATGGTGGGAGTACAGCCACTTGAGGAAGTAATTCGGCAGCGTCTCAAAAAGCGCAACGCAAGAGTTACTACATGAGAACTGAAAACACGCGTCCAAACAGAAATGTGCACACAGATGTTCACAGCAGTGTTTTCATAGCAGGTGAAAAATGGAAATAACCCAGATGTCCAGCAAATGGTGATGAAACATACAAAACGTGGCATATGCATCCAACGGAACATGACCTGGCCACAAAGCAGAGCGCAGGACCGACCGGTGACAATACAGCCGGAATGAACTTTGCAAACGCTGCTGAGTGCAGGAAGCCAGACACGCGTGGGACTCTCCCAACAGGCAGATCATCACGTCAGAGGGAAGCAGACAGTGGTTGCCAGGGGCTGGGGGTCGGGGCAGGGGTCAGAGGGACTGGGCAGTGACTGGTGACGGATACAGGGTTTCTTTCAGGGGTGACAGAAACTCGTGGAATTAGATGGGGTTGATGTTTGCACAACCTTCTGAATACACGGAGACGCACGGAATTTACATGCTTTAAAAGGGTGGATTTTACGTGTGTGAATTACACCGTAACAGACAATGACACCGACACTGGTGGCTGGAATGCACTTCTCTGCCTCCCTGCTGGGCTGTGTGGGTGGTGGGAGCATGGTCTTCCCTCTTCTGGACACTCAGCGCCTGGCCCAAGGCGGGTGGTGGCGGGGTCAGGGCGTGGATGCGGAGTGAACGACGGGCACAGACGAACTCGGCAGACACTAGAGCGTGGCTCGAAGAGCAGCGACCCTGGGAATGAAAGGGCTCCCGCTCCCGCTTGTGCACCCTGCCACGCAGCTGCAACTGGCCCTAACGGGGTTGTGTAGTGGCCCCACAGACCGCCGTCAGCCTGCAGGGGAGCAAGCCCTGACCCCAGGCTCAGCTCCCCATGAGATCAGTGTGCCCCATCGGGTCAGTTCCTTCCTTGCTGGGCCGCTTGAGGAGCTTGGCAACGTGGGCTGACCCGAATTCCTTCTCTGTCCAAGTTCTCCCTGGAGCTGGGGAGTGCCTCGTATTTAGGGGACAGAGGCAGCATCCCAACACCAGCCGCCACACCTGTCTGTTCCTTTTCAAACCCCACCCCGGCTGGTGGTCCAGGTCCAGAGCCTGCCAGCGAATCAGCTCCGACGCCCGCGGCCAGAGGACACGGACAGGAGACCTTCCACCGACAAGCGCCCCGGGCCTGCCACGCGCGCAGCTTCCCAGATCTGAGCGCCTGCAAGGGCAACCAGCCCCTCTCTGCTCCGGCCCCAGCATCTCCAGCGGACACGAGAGCGTCCGTCCTAGAGCAAGGACGAGTCCCACCCAGGGCACCGTTTTTGGGGAGACCTGGGGAGCGCTAAAGGAAGGTGACTTGGGACAGACACATCCTCGAGAGACGACTGGGGTCGGGAGCTGGCCTCGGAGGGCGGGGACGCGGCGTCCTTCCCGGCGGCGCCCGAGCCCCGCGGGGCGGCCCCAGCGGCAGGCGGGAGGCCCGTCTCTCCAGCCGACGTCGCGGAGGGCGCTCGGGAAAGGCAGGGCGGGGCGCGCCGGGCTCGCGAGAGACGCCGGAGGGGCCGAGCCACGGAGCGGGGCCCCCGTCAGCCCGAGGGCCGGCCCGCTGGTACCTGCCAAGCCGCTATAGTGGGCCCCAGGCTCGTAGTGCCTCCGGCCGGAGGACACGTCGTAGACGCGGCCCAGCAACGCCAGGTAGAGGCCCGGGTCCCCGGGGCCGCCGCGGTAGCGGGCCAGCTCCTCGGGGACGAAGAGGCGAAGGCCCGCTCGGCCGCTCCACCAGCCCAGCCACCGGGCGGCCGCCGCCGCCGCCGCAACCGCCGCGGCCAGGCCCAGCAAGAGCCCACGCCCGCCGCGCCGCAGCATTCGCACGGCAGGCGGCCTCCGGGCCAGCCACGGCCAAGACAGCGGCGACGCAGGCGTGACGTCCCCGGCTGACGTCCCCGGCGCGACGGCCTCGCGCCCCCCAGGGGACAAGGGGGGACTGAAGGGACACCGGCTTGGAAGAAAGACCACTCTCCGGCTCCACTCCCAGGCTTCGCTATTTTTCAGCGTAGGGAGTGAACGTGGAGAGACACGGAGTCTGCGACCGGCGAAGGCCCGGCGACGCCGGCTCCCGCCCCCAACAAAGATGGCGGCACAGGAGGCGGCCGGATGACGTAGACGTTAGGACCGACTGGCCCTCTGGGAACTCGGGGTCCCACCCGCCGTCGCAGCCCTCCTCCCTCGCTGTCTTACGGCATCTGCCTGAGTCCGCCTCACGGCGCCTTTGCGACGGCAGTCCTCGCTTGACGGAGAGGAAACCGGAAGTCGCCGCCGCCGTCGTCCCCTCCCCGTCTCCGCCCGCCGGGTGCCGCCGGAGGTTGACAGGTCGAGGCGGGGAGGCGGCGGCGGCGGCACAGCCGGACGCCCGACACGGAGACTCCATGGGGAACGCTCCGAGTCACAGCAGTGAAGACGAAGCGGCTGCCGCCGGGGGCGAGGGCTGGGGCCCGCACCAGAGCTGGGCGGCCGACTCGGGCACGGTCGCCGGCTCGGGCCCCGCGGCTCCGGCGCTGCCTCCCGCCGCGGCGCTGCTGGAGCCGGCCCGACTGCGAGAGGCGGCGGCGGCGCTGCGGCCCGCGCCGCCCTGCGAGTCTCTGGTGTCCAGGCACCACGGCGCGCTGCTGCGCTGGTTGGAGGAGCGGCTGGGCCGCGGCGAGGAGTCCGTCACCCTGGAGCAGTTCCGGGAGCTGCTGGAGGCTCGCGGCGCCGGCTGCTCGGGCGAGCAGTTCGAGGAGGTGAGGACCGGCCGGCGACGGCGGGGCGGGGCGGTGGCTCTCGACGGGCCGGGCGGGACCCCGCGGGGTGCGCGGGCTCTGAGCGCCGGAGCTTGTGGCGTTTGCGTCCTCTACTCCGCGGGACACGGCTGCGAGTCTCTACGCTCTCCTGGTGGTGCGGAAAGCCTAGACGGGGCCGTCCTTGGTTTGAGGAACTCGACAAGCCCAGGAGTCTTCGCAGGTCGTTGCAGTGCCGACGTTTGTGCTGCTGCCCGACGCGGCCCGGCGGCCCGCGGGATCTTCCTTACCGGGCTCCGGGACGGAGGCCTAGGGATCGAGGGAGTGGAGGTGGAAGCCACTGTGTTGTACTGGCCGGGGGATTTTCCAGAGCGCCCCCTGAAACCTGCGTGGGCGCCCAGCGAGCGTGGGAGCAGGACGACAGGGCCTGGAGCGCTCGCCTTCTGAAACCCATTCTCACTACCCGGAAACTCCCATTTTCAAAGTACACACTTGTTTTTTGGTAGTCTAGGAGCCGTGTTTTAGACTCATGGAAACCTCCATGTAACCTGAAGCTGACGGGCAGGTGTCACGCTTCCTGCCAGGACTTGTGATGACCGAGTTTTGGGCATAGTCACCAACATCATCTCTGTTGCATCATGAGCAGCAAATTGATATGGAAACAAAATACTCTTTTCTCAGAAGGGATGTTAGGAATTATTTGGACCTTTCATTTTACACTAAAAAGAGAACTGCTCCAGGGTCTCCCACTGATTAGTTGGCAGCCGGAGCCCTAGCACTCAGCTCTCTTGGTTTGTTTGCTTCTTTGTCTTAGGTCCCGCCGCCTCCTTCTTGGAAACCCATTTCTTTAACTCCACAGTGTTATAGCAAATAGATGCTTAATTTGTGGAAGTGAGTAAGCCATGTAGAATCTTCAGCGTCAGTGAAGGGTGAGTGACAGGTGCTTGTAATGCCATTAGAAAGTGATGTGCGCTTTACAAACAGAGGCTTTTAAAATATTTTAAGAACATTTTTCTGGATATAGTCAGAATTTAGGTAATAGAGTTTGTATGTTTCTTATATTTTCTTTAAAAAGATACTGGTAAGACATCTTAGTTCTTGAAAATAGGGTCATACTCGTTAGCGAAGGGTCTCCATATGTATTTTTTCTTAATTCCGAGAGTCCGTATAATACTTTCGTCTCTAGCTCTACATGTATTGAGAGAAAATGAAGTTGTGCTGGGAAGAGCTGTGTAGATCTGTTGAAGGAGTTGGCACATTTCAGAATTGTCCAGAAGGCAATGGAGGGAAACAGTATTTACATTGGAAGTGTCTGACAGAAATAAAGCTACAAGCAGAGTTGACAGGAGTCCCATAATGTAAGGCCAAGAGTCCGTTTTAACAGTGTTTTATTTATTCACTTAGAGAGAGAGGGAGAGTGAGAGAGCACAAGCAGAGGGAGAAGCAGACTTCCCTCCGAGCAGGGAGACCTATGCAGGGCTCAATCCTGGGACCCTGAGATCATGATCTGAGCCGGAGTCAGACACAACCCACTGAGCCACCCAGGCGCCCAAGGCCAAGAAGTCCTTAAGGTGTGGTCCAGAAATCATGCGGGGGCTATGATATTGTTCATTGAGCAAATATTTGTTGGGCACACACTGAGTACCGGGCACTTGGATGACAGTGGACAAAGCAGAGTCTTGCTCTTAAATGGTGTGTTGTACTGAAGGGGACTCATGCGAACCTAGCAGTTATAGGCGTAGTGAGTATCAGCCAAAGAAAGGTGTAAGGAAAAATATACCAAGAGTATTTAACCTCATCTAGGAAGTCAAGGGAGACTTACCTGGAAAGTCGCATTTCAGCTCAGATCCGAAGGGTGATAGAGAACATGGGAGGAGTAGAGGGTTAGTGGGGAGAGAAAATCCCATGCACACGTCCAAGTCCAGAGAGTGGAGAATCTGGAAGAAAGGTGTGATGTATTAGGCTTAGACAAAACTGCTGCAAGGGACAGAAAGGTCAGTGCATCAGTGGTTTAAATGGTAAACAAATTTGGGGTGCCTGCCTTCAGCTCGGGTTGTGATCCCAGGATCCTGGGATGCGGCCCCACGTCGGGCTCTCTGCTCAGCGGAGGAGCCTCCTTCTCTCTCTCCCGTTCCTCCTGCTTGTGTTCCCTCTCTCACTATTTCTCTCTGTCAAATAAATAAATAAAATTTAAAAAAATAGTAAACCAGCTTCTGGGCGCCTGGGGGGCTCAGTTGGTTAAGCGACTGCCTTCAGCTCGGGTCATGATCCCAGTGTCCTGCTTCTCCCTCTCAATGTGCCTGCCTCTACACCTGCCTATGCTCTCTCTCTCTGTCAGGTAAATCAATAAAATCTTCAGAAGAAATAGTAAACCAGCTTCTTATGAAAAAGTCCAGGTGGGCAGTCCAGGTTTGACATGGCCCTTTCAGTCGTTCCCCTGGGGACCTGGCTCCATCCTTCTTGTGCTGTCCTCCTCCACAGGCGCCTTCCACCGAGTGACCAGAATGATTCCTTCAGCTGTCACTTTGTGCATTACAGCCTCAGGAGAAGGAAATGGGAGGAGAGGGCCACCCTGCCTTTCTTAAGGGCAGAGCTCACCTCCTGTTGGCTCAAGCCCAGCCACAGGGCCCCACTGAGCTGCAAGGGAGGCAGGGAATGACTTTTATTTCATGGCCATGGATTTAGCTGAAGAACGAGGACGGGATTACTGAGAAAGAGGAGAACAGATACCCGGTTCCCATTAGTGGTGTGACACACGTGGCTAGACCCCGGAACGCAAAGGAAGAGAGTGAAGCTGGAGGAGTGGGCAGGAGTCAGGTCCTGGGGAGTCCTTTTGCAGCTTCTATCATCTAGGAATTTGCAAACCGGAGCTTTAAGCCAGATCCATGGTGCTGTGGCTGCCTTTCAGGGAGCCGGTTGGAGATGGGCTAGCAGGGTCCAAGCAGGTCAGTTAGGAAGCTATTATGACAGTTCAGGTAAGAGACTGGGTGGCTTGGGCTGGGGTGGTGGCAGCTAAAATGGCACCAACAATTTTTTTTAAGATTTTATTTTTTAATTTGACAGATCGCAAGTAGGCAGAGAGGCAGGCAGAATTGGGGGGGGGTTGGAGGCAGGCTCCCCGCCTAGCAGAGAGCCCGATGCAAGGCTCAATCCCAGGACCCTGGGATCATGACCTGAGCCGAAGGCAGAGGCCTTAACCCATTGAGCCACCCAGGCGCCCTGGCACCAACAATTTTGAGAGTGATTTAGGAAGTAAAATAAGCAGTCCTTGAGACTTATGTGTGAGTAGAGAATTAGAAGGGGAAAGGAATTCAGGATGGCTCCAACATTACTGGAAAGGTGATAGGGCTGTTTATTGAGAATAGAAACTTGTTTAGGCAGGGAAGATCTGGAGAGACCTGATGAGTTTGGTTTGGCTATGCTGAGCTTGATGTGTCCATGGGCAGCAACGTGGAGATGTCGCAGACTGGGAGTCCGAGAGAACACTGCTTGAGATACAGTCATCTGTTCTCTGGGGTTCCATGAGAAAGTAGTCCATTGGTTCCTCCCACTGTGAAGTGTGTGTGTGTGCTCCGTGAGAACCTGAGTCCCTTAGAGCTAGTCTGTGGACTGTTGAACATCATTAAATCCGAGATCGTGCAGCCACCGTGACTAAAGAGATAGGTGGGAAGAAAAACCTGAGTGGTTGTCCCTTCCCCGCTGTGAAACACAGAGTCATCGTAGTCACACGTGTGGCAGAAACAAACCTTAAGGACTCAGAAGCCCAGCAGTAAGACCTGGTGACTTGGGAAATGTTGCAAGGTCGTATTTTCCTTCTGTAAAAATCCCTGGGGCCACCTAGAGCTGTGTCATAGGGTCTTAAGTACCCATACACTGAACTCACGAAATACATGCTGGGAGTTTCCTTCACACCTGCAGGGCTGTCTCCCCTCACTCTCTACAGTGTGTGCGGAAACTTGGTGTCTAGTGATTCGGGCCAGCTGTGCAAGGCTGGTGAGTGACCCCAGCCCCACAGTGAGGACAAGACTGAAGGCCCTGTAGGGTTCAGGGACTCAAGTAGGATGGGAAAGTGAGTTCTGGTGCCAACACTCTAGTGGAGTCCTCTGACTCCAGGCCTTCCTCCTCTAGGGACCTGGTTCTCTGGGATTCTTTTTACTTAGTCTCGTTTTTTTTTTTTTTTTTTTTTTTTTTTTTGTCTCAATTCTTTAATTTTCCTCTGCATGCTAAGGGAGACCTAGCAAGAATAATTCCAGTTTGAGAAAAAGCATTGTGTATTTTTCTTGAAGCCTGTTCCCCTTTAGTAGATCTGGTGTGGAGACGGTTAGGGGTGTGGCCTAGTACTAAAGTGTGGTGACCTGCCCTTGCTGCTGGTTAGCACTTGTTAGCTGAAGAGAGCAGGTCTGTCTCCACGTGAAGGCTTAGCCAGGGTTTAAAAAGCCATTTGGAATAACTCGCAGTGGTTGTCCTATCTGTAAGCATGGAGTAATTATACAGGGAAATGTCCAAGAAGATAAGCATTAGCCACGGTTGTGATTCCGTTCTCTAAAACAAGTGTGCTCTTGGATGTGAGTAAGCGGATGTTTCTGTGTCTTAGTTAATTTTAACATAAGCTTGTGATGATGTGTTGTGATACTTTAAGTTTAAGGGTATAAGGGAGATGATAATAAAACGTCTTCATAGTAGCAACTAAAATGATGATGTGTGTTTTTCCCTCCTTTCATTTTATGACACCCAGCACGATGGAGCAGGTCCCCGGCGGTATACAGTATTACTATAACGTTAAGTGTTTCCAAGTTTCATATCCTGGTTCTTGGGCTCCAGATCCATGTTGCCATCCATGTCCCCCCGGGCATCTTGCTTTCACGTACCCATGACTTAGTTGCTTGAGGTGGTACCCTAAAGAAGTTGCTGTACTTGTACTGTAGATCAAAGTCTGAAGCTTTATCAATTTATAGTGGGACATACTTTCTCCCGTGCTAGGTGTGGTCCATGGGGAAGGACTC